AATGAGAACGCCGAGGAAAAGCGTGGCAGGATTATTTTAGTAAGCAATTTTCAAATCTTTTTACGCGGTAAGTTATAAGATCAAGAGTTATATGGTGCAGGCAGATTTTTTGAAAACACAACACCCATTCAGCAAAAAGGTAGACGAGTCCTCATAATTTTATAAGAAAAAGTAGCTAGGGAAATAAATAAATTGTTGCACCAAGGGCACATCGAAGAATTTGACGACTGTTAGGAGCGATATTTCGTTTCTCGGTAAAAAACAGTTCAAAAAAAAACGGTTAAGAAAGTCGGCTCCGTAAAACTCGCACTGGCAGCTCGTGAACTAAATAATTAAGTGCTTAAAAATAAAAACCAAATGCCGAATATCGAGGAACTTGTGAACACGGTCGCACAGACAATTAGCAAAGAAACTACCGATATATTTATGGAATTAACGCTTACGGATAACTGCCGCTCAGACCGAAAACTAGTGTGCAGGGAAGCTTTTCGTTATTTGGGGGTAAATCAACAAGAACGTACCGATTTAAAACAGATTTCTACGGGTAAACCACGATGCCAGCGGAATTTCAAAAGGTTATGGATTCGATTTTTTCAAAATTCCACAGGCACATGCCTTCATCGATGATATATAAAACAACAACAAAAGGATCGGAGAGCGAACAACGTTTCGCGCAACGAGAATAAGAGTGGTTCGGGCATAAAATAACCTCGACAGGAGTTACCCCGTTCATCCGAAAGACGGAACTGATCGAATCACTTAAACCGCCTCGCACATTATCGCAACTCAAATCGTTTATGTGATCGATCCACAGTTTGCGTAAATATATGCTGGCGCTGGCTGAAGCATCGGCGCCGTTACGCCTGCTACTCAGCAGGAAAAACGAATATTAGTGAAGACCGGAATGCCAATTGTGGAACTAAAACATTTTGATGTACACAAAGATATTAGGAGTGTCTGCCACGCAAGACATCACGGATTGGTAGCCGTGCTTGAACAACTCGGACCCGAAGGGTGGCGGCCGATCTCACTTGCATCGCGTTATTTTAAATTAGCCGAAAAGAGGTACTCAACAAGCGCATTTGAAATGCAGGCGGTATTATGGGGTGCGGAGTTTTATCGAAGTTATGGTTTGGGATTGACTTTTAAAGTAATTGCCGACTATAAAGCGTTGGCATCGTTATTGAACGGGAATAATAAAAAAAAACAGAAGATTGTTCAGCCGCTAAAAGGATGGCTAGGGATATTAACTCCAATCGACTTCCAAGTGGAACATAAACCGGGGGCTAAAACTGGACTGGCAGATTTTTTTATCCCGAAATTCAAATAGTTTAGCAAAACCAGTTTTAAATTATGATAGTATGTTTACAGTGGCAAAGATAAATTCTATTCGTAGCGCCCTCGGATTTATAAAATCTAAATTATTTGGGGGACTGGATAAAAAAAATCAGCAATAACTCAAATGAGAAGATATCAGCCAACAGGAAAGAATTATGCAAATTTCGATCAACAAAACAGCCGCTAGAGGGCCAAATAGCATGCGATAAACGTTCAACCAATCAAAAGGCAGCAATTTGCATACGCCGCCGAAAACTCAAAAACAGTTGGAGCGATTTTTAATTTAAGAAACGCAGCAAGAATTCGATCGAAAATAAAACTGAAACGATGGAGAAAACATTCCGAAAGAGCGATTTTTAATTTAAGAAACGCAGCAAGAGTTCAATCGAAAATAAAACTGAAACGATTGAAAAAACATTCCGAAAGCTGGAAAATTTTTTGAAGAGGCATCCGAGTATCGTTACGAGTGACAGCGGAGATGATAAAGTGGAGGAAGTAAATGGAGAGACTAAACTGCATGCAATTACGACTGAAACAAGCAGCTTGAAAACGAACATCGTCCTATCCATTCCTTCGGAGATCAAGGGAGAAAGTTTTCCTCCGGTGGACCCGAAAACCCGAAAAACTGCATAACGTTTTTAGTCCCGCGAAACTGTAAGGTCCAAAAAAATACTGCCCTCCCTGAATGGTTTAACCTCCGGTTCATTGCATCGCAATACGCCTCAGAACCTCAATTACCAGCTGGCTACGAGATGGTAAGAGCAAAGGACCCGGATATCCAGCAGAAAGTCCACAACATGCATCGTCAAAACTCGCAGTTTGTCAAGGTTTTCCATGTACGCTATAAATGGACGACAAGCTCGTCTTATCCAACACTCTACACAAAGCCATCAACAACAGAATGCACCACTACCACCATGGCAAATCAAATATGTTCACGGCGGCGAAAAACATTTGGTTTTTTATTGTTCACCGGAACATCGCAGCGATGGCGGAAAACTGAAGATAATGTATCGCGGCGGGTAAGAATCTTAAATCTATGTGTAACAGGAGAGATCTAGGTTGAATTCCGGAAGCAAGGTAGCCAAATGAATCATTGCAATTGAATTTCTGTGGGCCCTTTAGCTATTTAAATGAATCTAAAAAAAAGCGTAATAGTAGCTGTCGACCGATTCTCGCTTTGGCCATCAGCGATGGTCTGCGGAAAAAACCACTCGGATAAAATTCTTAAGTTCCTTAAATCATATAAACAAACATGAGATGCGCGTGAGGAAAAACCGGAACCCTTGGATAAAATACTCGAACGGGTCCTCGGAGCGTTACGATTTTCGAACAATGAAACACTTAACAGTACACCATTTGAAGCACATCATGGTCGGAAGGCAAACACGGTGTTGAGAAACCTAACCAAATAGTCATCGCTAAACAACTTGAACTGGTCAAACGTACTTAAATCTTAATCTGCCTGTTTAAATGAACGTGATCCGGTGGCACGAGAAATGTCTAATCCAGCACACACTAATTGAGGGATCAGGTCAGACTCGGAATATTGTGACAGCACTCGAAACCACCCAATTCAGTTAACGGACGATCAGGCAATTAATCAGGACAACGAACCGTCGTCAAGAACGACAGCGGACCCTAGCACAGCGGCTGGACCATCGGGATTAGTGTTCCAACGAACGGGGGACCGATACATTAAAAGGTTAAAATTACTCAATTCTAAAAAAAGTCGCGGAAAGCGTGCATACAATAAGGATGATTAATGGTAGCTTTCTTGAGAAGTCCCGAGTAGCTATCAGAAACACAACTACACCAAAGAAACGGGCCGCTGACAATATACCAAAACAGCAGACTCCGCAGGAACTACGCAGGAAATTAGCCACCAAGGGCACTTATCAGAAAAATTCAGCTCCAACAAGAGTGCGAGTGCGAGCGAGGCAGAGAACGCAAAATTCAGTGGTACAGGCGACGGGAACGCGATCAGGGAAAGAAAGAAAGCGAGCGGCGGAGGTATTCCACGAGCCGAACGCACCCTCGGCGCAAACAACGAATGCGCCCTCGGGACAAACAGAAAATACCCATCCAGGCGACGAAAAGAAAAAACGGGGAGGAAGACAATACTCGAAAAGTAGTCAAGACGATATGGCCTCATGCAGGAGCGGAAGAAAAAGAACGGCTGTCGGCAAAATGGGGCAGTGATGATTGATGACATTTCCTAAGGAGTGAACAGAAAATGTAAATAAAACCTCGGAGAGTCTAGGCAAAGAGCTGACTGGATTAGTCAAAAAATTAAAAAAATTTAGTTGCTTAGTACAAGTCAAAACATTCAATTGAGTAATTAAATTTCGAATCGTTAATTATTCATATCTTTTCATTTTTACAAAAAGGGAATGTCATAGTGGTTAAATTGATTCACTCAACTCATTTAGTTTTTGTTCATTTATTATCTGTCAATCAATTTCGATTTCATTCTGGTGCTAGAAACATCTGCTACCTTTGGTTGACCTCTAATTTGGTATCTTTATGACCTTGATACAATCCAGTTGGTTATACCAAAAGTCAAACCACAAAAGAGCCTCAGCAAGCTGTCTTTATTTCAATGGGATTTGTGAACTGGAATCTTTCATGACTCAACCACGAGGCTCTGACCTATTGCCTTCAATTGCTTCCACGTATACCTGATTCTTAGCGGTTATAAATAAAACGATTTCACACACAGCGATACATTAAGAAAAAATCGTTGAAAAGCTTTTTAAATTAAAAAAAAATCTGACAAGGAAAATCAATGAAACATAACCAACAGACCGTTGGAAAGAGTCAATGAACGCAGTATACAAAAAAAATTAAGAAGGAAATTTTTAAAGAAAACAGTATATGCCCTTCATTCGCCACGTTCATCGATTCTTAATTAACATTATCATTCATGACAACTAATTTCAATTTTTAATAAAGTGAAAAATTCACGTATCCGCTCGCTGATTTTAATCAGTCAATTCCGCCTCAAAATTTGCATTTTTTCGCCGTTTCATTTAACTTGCAATCAAGATTCATCCAACTCGCTGCCAATTTTCGCCTGCTGCGAATCGTCGCTTGGTGCAAACTATTGCCCTTTATTAATGCTACGAATCGTGGTGTCATCCGGCATGGACCGACAAAACTCAGATATATATACATTGACACTTATGATTTATGTTGTTACATATGTTTATGATGTTGCATGCCATAAACATACATTTAGTCGGTCAATCGACCTTGAGAGATCTCATCTCGAACACAGACCGAATGAACGGTCAGAGCAAGAATAAACCTTTGCTTAAATTGGTCGTTTTATCTCGCTCCGCGTTAGCTTATCTGTTTGTCGATCCATTCGGATTCAGGAATCAAACGTTCATACATTGAGGTATGACACGTGGCTTGCGACGGATTTTCGCCTCAAGCCCAAGATCGAGCAATTACTAATTTGTTAATATCCTTAACATTGGCTGTACTTAATAGCTGGATCAAAAAGAACACTTCCAAAATGAATACTTTTTGTCGCAACAATTGCATCGCAACAATATTTGCGACTTAGGTTGGAAAAAAAATGAGAGTTCATACTATAACAAAAGTTATGCTGGTGTAATAAACAACTACAATACCAATTGCATCCCTGTCTTTACCTGGGGTCTGCTGACGTTGTACATGTTCACTTGATCTGCAGTCCAATTAGGCGACTTCTCGTGTGAACAGAAGAGGTTTTTCAGACTGTCCTTGAATTTCTTCAGCAGTTTCATCTCTCGTTTCTTCAGAGCCCCAATCTGCACTTCGTCGTGCATGTAATTCTATTTGCATCAACTCAACTTCCGAGACTTCTAACTCATTATAATAGTATCGACTCTCTTAATTACCAATACATTCAGTTTAACGTCAACTCCCAATGATAAATATTGGGTTTCTCAACTTCATTTCTAGATGCTGACAAACGACTTCCATTAGCCCTTTAGGGCCTGTTGGCCGATTTTCTCCCCCATTGCTATTCGTTACAAGGTACAAAACAAGTATCTGTTTAACTTTTCAACTCCTCCTTTAAAGTGGGCCAGTTCGTAACAAGCTACCATAGGGGAGGTAGAATAGTTAACAACACCCGCCCTTCCCAACACTCTTCTCTCCCAACGCCAAAATCAAGAAATTTTCTGAGCGGCGAAATTGTCGGAATGATGATCCGATAACGATTATGAAATCTTCCGCAAGTTCGCTATATTCCGGCTTTTCCAGGAATTGTTTTCCGTATCAAAATTTCAACTATTCCGCTCGAAAGCGGTCGTAAAAAGTCTTCGTGAAAATTTGCCAAAAAAACGCGGACCTGAAATTTATCTAGATGACCCAACTGAGGCTTTGGTACTACTATGATAGAGTGGTCCCTCGAAAAAGCAACTATGATAGACAGGTCCGCATGCATATTGCATGTTATAATTTTGAAAACTAGTTGGTTTATAAATTATTCGTTTCAAAAATCTTGCAAAATATGTTCAGCCAAAAACTTTTCAGATTGAAAATTTTAATCACTATTGTTCATATATTGAAATTTGCTCGCTTTACTTTATTTTACGGTTTAACAACCATATGATTGGGTTGACTTATTTGCCATCAAAACCCACTATTGGCGGTTTTTTTTTTAGATTTTTATTTTTAAAATGGTTAGGGGGAGGTTTTATAAGATAACAAAACATAAAATTTATGAAAATATACTGCGACATCTTTCTGAAGGGCTCAATCATAATTATTCAAGGATTTGAGAGCTCTAGGTGTCTTATTCTCAAGGGACCTGGTTATTGTCAAGGGACCACTCTATCATAGTAGTACCGAGGCTTTTAGAAATGTAAACTAGATTAGTGTGTTGAGTTATAATTTGATAGGACGTGACGTGAGTGGGAAGCAGCAGCAGCAGCAGAAGTTGAGTTGAGTTGTGTGGTGGATGCCTGGTTCTTGATGTAGTGGATGGTGCACCTGCAGATGACATAGAGGAGGAGGGAGTGGTTGGGCACTGAGTAGCCTGCCGCCTCCTCTTCCATGCACAGTCTGTCCAGTTGGGAGAAGAATGCGAGCAGAGCGGGCGAGAGGGAATAGATGGCAGTGGACAGCAGTCTCATGTACTCACTCACACACTCGTACACTCTGACACACAACACAACACAACACACTCATTAACCACTTATTATTTACTCGGATTTTTTCAGAAGTTTGTGAATGTTTACCTATTTGCTTAAATGCACTAGTCTTACGAATCTAGGCTGAAAAATTGACGTCTCAAATCCTTGTAGTTTTCGAGAAAATTTTAATGTTCATCCCTGTCAAGGAAAATCTGACAAGGATTTAAAAAGTGTGTGGGGGGGGGGGTTAGAATTCCCAAAACAAAACAAAGTTTTGGGAATAATGTTTTGTTTTGGGAATTCACAACAATTCCCAAAGCAAAACATTATGAAGAAAAGAAAAGTACGTCAGTATTTAGACAACCGCGTATTCAGACTGGTCAGTATTTACTGTTTCAACCAATCAGAATCGAGACAAAGAAGAAATTAATAAATAATTATTATTTATTTTGGATTATTTATGTCTTTTCTCGATTCTGATTGGTTCATACAGTTTTTGTCTCCATACGCGGCTGTCTAAATACTGGCTGCACTCCTATGAATTATACATTGTTCAAGAACTGGAATAATAAAATATTCGCAGTCGGCAGGATTCGAACCTACGCGGGAAGATCCCATCTGATTTCTAGTCAGACGCCTTAACCACTCGGCCACGACTGCTTGTTACTACACTGTCCCCAACTGATTATAGACCACTAGTATTCTGACACTGCTTAGATATTCATTCACTGCTGCTGTTCAATAAAAGCCAAATCCACAAAATAATTGCCATCCTTGCAGGGCGCTACAACTGCATGACCACCAAATACCAAAATCCATACTATACATATTTACAATTGACATTACGGTGACGTCCCATTTGTACCAACGGTCATTTGTACCAAAATGAAAAATCGGTCCCATTTGTACCAAAATTATTCAACTCGATTTCTGATTGGTCGAATTGCGAGCCAACGAATTATTACATTAATTTTCTACTGTTCAAACAGATGAAAATTAAACAGCAGAATTGTGACCGCCGCAGTCGCGCCAACGTGTTGCGAGCTTGCCAACAGAGGGTAGGACTCTATACGAAAATTAGAGCCGGTTATCGCCGCGAAGCGGCGACGCGCGCATAGCGCGCCCACCGGCGACCTTAAACCAAGAGCTTAAAGTAGTCGGCTTAATAGTCTTAAGCCAGTTGAATATTTTTGGTACTAACGGGATTGATTTTTTATTTTGGTACAAATGGGACTGATTTATCATTTTGGTACTTGTGAATACCCACCGACATTACAAATGCCAAAGCTCGAAATTGATTTCATTTAGACGTCGTCTCGGTTCTTTTCCAGTTTCCCCCTTTCAAGCTGTAAAGTATAAAGAACAAATTTGTTCAGAATTGTCAATTTGTTGACCACGCCAAATTTCATTGCATTATGAGTATGACAACGTTAAATATACTTTTCAGTATTGAATTTGAAAGGGGGAAACTGGAAAAGAGCCGTCGTCTCCGTAACATCGTTTTGACGCAGGATTGCGCCAACTAATGTTCCACGCGAGCCAATTCCACTGGTGGGAGGAGGGGGGGGGGGGGGGGGTTAACAGAGGAAAGGCGGCGAAATAATAAGATGGGAGCTGTACCTCTCGGAGTAGGATGGTGAGGCGGAGGCAGCTGCAGCAGCTGTGAGGAATGAGGGACTGGCGGGACTGCTGCTACTGTTGTAGTTGTTGGTGTTGCTTCTGCTGTTCCTCAGTCGACACCCACACGGCAGCTCACCTACACAACACAACAGACGACACTCAGACAGACAGAGAGACAGACAGACAGAAAGGAAGGAAGAATAAATCACAAACATAACATACAGCACAGGCTGTTTTCAAAACATGTCCTTTATGAACCCTACAAATGGCTACAAATGTGATAGAGGAGGCGACTCCCGTCCCGGTAAAAACCAAGTGGGAGAGGAGAGAGGTGTCTAAAATAGAACAGTTTACTAAATCAAATGCGCCGGTCGGCCCTTTCAAAACTGCTTCTCAAGCCTAATTAACCAGCCTTATTTGCGCTAACTTATTTCATACTTGTTGAAATTACCTAAGCACTAAATTGCTCAATTTTGAGTCTAGTATCTAGGGTCTTTTCGGTTATACCTCCCTAAATGAAAAGTCGAAATCAATTTTTGTGCTAATTTGGATCGATATTACTAAGAAATGCTGGCTGTCAATTTAGTACAGGACGAAACGAAGTAATTTCATCTCATTTAGCCTCAAACAGGTCTTTTTTCCTGTTTTTTTTTGCCGTTTTCTTCATTTAAGTTTCACAAGTATGAGTCCAAATGCTTCCTGAATAGCCATGTATTACCTTTTTTTTGCAGTTTTCCGAGTTGATTCAAGGCTCTGGATATCTGGATAGCAGCCCGTCTTGTCGTAGTAATATTGATCCAATTTTGTAATCTTCTTACAAGTTTCTATTTCCATTTTCAGTTCAGTTTTTATTTTTCAGGGGGGGGGGGGGAGGTAACCGAAACGACCCGCTTTCTATTTACATCAGGGACGCGGTTAGGTTCTTATGGCCCTTATCACACTTGTACCGAATCTTTTCTCAATTCAAAAACAATTGGGCTATTAAACCTTTTCACTTTTCAATAGGCAGAAAAATTTTGCCCAATTTCGACATATTTCATAAAGTTGGCTTGATTTTTGTTCACGCTTGTCTTTGCAGTTTATCAAATTTTCACTGCATTTAGTGCTGATGAAGCTACTACTATAGCGACGGTTTGAAACAACCAAATAACCTGGACTAAAACAACGATCTCGAACTCGTTTCTCTCAAAATTGGTGAGTTTTAGACAAAAAAAGACCAGGACAAATATTATTTGGAATTTGCAAGCTTCTTTTCGGTGCAATTTATTTTGCAAAAAATAACACCAAGATTATACCGTTAAAGCCGTTCAATTCACTTGGTTTGAAGAGAAAAGGTGTTTGAGCCTGTTGTGATTGTGTTTTAACGTAGTAACCCTCACCTAGCAGCTAATTAGCTGCCAGTCAGTTGTGCTTTATACGGAGGTCATAGGACTTCGCGTCACTTTTATTCCCTTTAGACAACAGTCAGTTGTAATTCAACACAATTACTTTTATTCTTTTAGGTTAGCTTAGTTAGCTTTAGTATACCAGTGGTATTTGAACACATCTTAATATGGCGCAGTCAACTGATTCGAATCTGCGGGGAACTCCCGCCTTTTGGCTGAACCATACTGTAGAACCACCTACCCAATCGACTAATTGGATCGACCAGTTCCACCTGGCCATCATCGCCAAAGAGAACTTAGACATAGATATCCTGAAAGAGAAGTTGGGGTCGGAAACGACAACCCATATTATAGAAACCGCCCAGGATTCAGAAAACGAAACACGGTAAAACCAGGCAGGCCAGAAACAAAGAATTAATGCGAGTCTACGAAAATTCGGAGAAAAGGATTTTAGACGAGAAACGAAAATTCGGAGGGGGGGGGGTGAGGAGAAACGAAGCAGACAAGAAAGTAAAATCCATCCTTTACTTGGCCTTAGTAGCCGAGGGAAAAAAGTGTTCCCTCGAAAACACTCAAGGTGAAGGTCTTATCCATTTCCTTCAAAGAATTTTTCGACCTTTTGAACGCAGCATTTGTCAAACCAGTGAACATTACGTTTGAACGATATAATTTTTTGAGCCGAAAACAGAAGGACAGAGAGTCCTACGAACAATTTTGGGAGCATTATCTGATTTAGCTAGACCTTGCAAAAACAGTATTAATGCAGAACGGGAATGGATAAGAGATGTATTCATATTCAAAATGAGAAATCGCGATCTCCAACGAAGACTCTTATCTGAAACGCTAAACCCAGTGGATGCACTGAACCAAGCAATTATCGATGAGAAAGGTTATTACAACCATCTCAAACTAACGAACATGACAAGGGCCAATAACAACAACAGCGTCAGGGTCTACAAAATTTATATTTCAGTAAAAAAGGAACCAAGTCTGAATAAAGATCCAAAACCTGTATAAAATGTGGAAATGCTTTTACCAAAAGACATTTGAACGTTTGCCTAGCAAAAGAAATATTATATCAAATTTGCAAATACAAAGGACGCTTTGGAAGACTCGACAAATCAAAAGGAAGAAGGCCAGTTTATTGCTTGTTTTCTGATGTTGTGTTTTTGTTTGATGTAACCAATAAATTTTAACCAACTTTATTATTTACACTTTGCTATACTGATGCCTCGGCTTTTTACTGTATAGTAATTCAGGTGTTCTTTCTTCTTCTTCTTCTGAGCCTGTACAAATTTTAAGATTTTCCTGAAAAAATCATCACGACCTATATACTACGTTCATCAGCACTTTAAAATGAACAAACATTATAGCAAAAGCGGGGGGGTAATACTTACGCTTAGCAGGAAACAAACTCATTAATCGCTAAATCACACATTAACACAGAGGCGAAGTTGCACTTCGCAAACACAGGCAAAAAAAGACCGATAACGCAACTGGGAAAAACTGAATAAAACTTTGAGTCTACAAAACTTAATACGTGACGCACGTCAATTATGAGTCTACATATTTGCTAATAGACGCAAGCCAATTATGAGCATTAGCAGTACCAGTCAATTTGAAAAAAAAAGAAATTTACCAATAACATGCCTGAATTTATAGAGCGGACGTATTTCAACTAGTATACGAAAAAATTCGTTACAAACATCCGACCCTGCCCGGGTTCGAACCCTCTTATTTTGTTCAAGTTCTTGATTTCCAAAATGGCGGTAAAAAATTCCAAATATGTTTTTTTCCGAGAAAGCAACTTTGCTGGGCTTAAATATAGCTTAAATAAGCTATTGTTAGCCTGCTTGCTTGCTTTATTCGCTCGAAATTGCACTAAAAATCAGAAATTTAAACTTGAAGCTCAAAATTTGTATTTGCTTGAAAAAAAAACGTCGTTCTTTATCATTTGTATTTTAACTTTATTTTGTGACGCTTATTATATTCAGCGTGTCTTCTCTGCGGTCTGTCTAACCTAGACTCTGATAAAAAGGCTGCTCCCCCAAAGATCCTGCCGAGTACATTGGGAGGGTAGTGGAGACAGGCGGTGCGGATGTCTCGAACAGACAGAGGAGACTGTTCTGCAGCAGCTCCTTCACAATGGGAGAGAGGAGGAGGTAGATGTTGGCCCATCCTGTTGTCTTCAGGGGGTCTCCCTTCAGAAAGTTACTGATGTCTCCTGTACACAAACCACCAATGACGAAATATAAAAAAATATTTCACAATTTTGAAATCATAATTAATTGTTTTGATTAAAGCTAATGTTCAAATCATTATTTAAAATTTCAACTAGTTTGCTCAAAATTAAATAAAGCGAAAGGAGTTGTTGATTAAATGATTCAGTTGAAAACACCCAATATTTGAAATCCAACATCATTTCAGATAACACTTCAGGCTCTCCTTTTTTAATTAATTCAGTGGGTACATAAGTGGAGTTAAACCAACGTATGAACTGTTCAACTCTGCACGGAAACAGCTGTTGTTTGTTATCCTTGTTAAAATTAAAATTCCATGCAATTTTTGAGGGTTTATGTTTCTTTCCCGGGTAGAATGCTTCAGCGACAAGCAACCAGCATGGGTAGTACAGTTTCATAAAAACTAACAATCAAAAAACATAAACTTACAACTGATTTTTAAACTGCACGACCTCAACCATTCCAGGCCGAACATCAAATTTGCATTCGATTTAATTATTTACACTCGCAAATCAAGCAACAGCATTTTTTCTTGAAAGATTCCTGGGGGCAGATTAAAGTTCGGCACTACGCTGCTGTATTCAATCAAGACTACATGTGAATTTTCAACAGATGAAGTTCGTTTACATTGTCAGCTGGTAACTAATTTTGGCATTTGGACTAAAGCCGATCATCAAACATATTTGCTTTTCATTAAACGCTTTTCATGTTTGCTTGCATGATTAACAGGCACGTAAAGTTGAAAAACTTAGGTGGGTTATGGAGAAGGAAAGAGGGTAGGAGAAAGAGTGCAATCGGCGGATAATCAACTAACCGCCATATCTTGAAGCCGAAATTGCATCAGAATAACGGAAATTAAATCACAATTACGTAACAATTGCATAACAACAATGACACTTTGTTGTTATGTTACATAACAAAATTAATTTTCGGTTTGTTGACCTACCACAGTGTAATTAACCTACCATGTTCATTCATGATGGGAAGCAAAGAGTCTGCCAGTGCATTTGGACAGATGAAGCCCACATGATTAAGCACAGTCACGAATGGCCTCACTAGATCAATGATGGGAAATGCATTGGAGAGAGAACAGATGTCACTCACACAGTGCACTCCCTGACAGGTCACAGAGGTGTAGGGTGCTGCGAACAGTCTCCTCTGAGCACTTGCTTGCGTCTCCGAGGACCCTGAACAACAAGAAGTTAGTTGAAATAATTCAAAAAAAAAAACATTGCAGGAGACTTCCACAAGCAATGCCTAGTGAAAAAAATGATGAGTTTTCTGTCGAATGAAGAAATATTTGGCTCATTTAGCGGATCAATTTAGCAATCTACCTCCTATTCTCGCGTGGGTGGATAGCTCAATGGGTAATTAAGACATGTTTATAACCACTTGAAAAATGTTTGAATGATATGAAATCATGAACCAGATCCTCCAACAAATGAGGAACGACAAAATCTTACACACAGAGGGGAAGATCCGCTTCCCAAAAACAAGCGAGAAAAATTCAAAAAAGCTCTAAACAGGCAAAACAAAGTGAAATAAGAAAGAAAACAAATATATTTGAGAAAAAAGCTTGTTGAAATTAGGAGTATCACGTTTTCACATCTGCTCCACGACTGCTTGTTATTTTACTTACACTAGCCATCAATAAAGCAGCTACAGTTTATCAAAATGCCAAAGCTATGCAGCAAAAAGTCGACCAAAAAATAACTATTTCGATGCTCTGGATTTGAATCTCCGCATTTGCTCCACATTCGCTTGGAAAGTAAACTAGTGCCCCAGCTATAGCTGGATGCACCTGTGTGAATATTTTTAAACAAAGCCAATCGAAGATTGGAAAAGAGTAATGAACGCAAGTAAACATTAAAAAAACACTTACTTTATTTAAAAAATCTCAACTGGAATTTCAAAAAAAATCGATGCCCTAACTTCTAGAACAATTTATGATCGGCATTTTTTGATAACAATAACCCAAATTGAAAAAACTGGATCAACAGGTATAATTTTTATTCCGCTGGAAATCCAAAACTTAAATTCCACTTTCGAAACTAGAAATCGTTCACGTTTTTAGCGCCATTTCCACGTCCGTATTTGGAGAGTGCTATTTACTTCACTTTCAGCAGATGAATTTCGATTGAACTCAAAAAGTGCATATATACCTAAGTGCATTCATAAACGCATCAATATGTATGAATGCATACCTGTAGTCATTAGAGCATTTTAAGACTTTATCCTGTAGAAAAAAACCGAAAAAAATCACCAACATCTATATAAGAGTCTTCACTACGTTCATTATTTTTAATTAGTTCTCCGAACCTATGTTTTAGATGCAACATGCGTCAAACATCTGTAGTTCCCTACAAATTTTCACTCGTAAAAAGTATTTACTTAAGGGAAAATTGAGTTTCGATGGCCATTTTTTTCAAAAACACTCACCGAAGCTTAACAGTGTCTTTTAAGGCATCTCCAGAAAAAAAATCAGCAAGACCTATATGAGAGTCTTCACTACGTTCATTATTCTTAAAAACAGTTAGCAAATGAATGCTTAAATAAATCTGCAGTTCTGTTTTTCGAAATATACTCAGAAGCGAAGCTCTGCTTTGCAAAACTTTGGCGAGAACACTACAAAAAGCAGCTCTATTAAGTGCAATAAGAAGTGGAAATAAGCCTCGAATAAGTAAAAATTCGGCTACGTCTCGGATTCAAACCCACGACCTACTGCGACCTAGAGATTCTGAATATTAAGCACTAACCAGTCAGCCACGGACGCTTACTTGATGACAAACACTAGCCAAAAATCAAGCAAAGAAGAGATGCTATGCAATTACCAATGCTACAGCGAAATTTCCATATAAGCTAACACTTTCAATGACACTTTTGTTAGCGAGTTAGGGTAGAAAAAAGAAGGGTCGTACAAATACACTAGCGCTCGCAAGCTGACTTTAACTTCTAACAACATGACTTTAACTTCTGAAAGACACTCAATAATTTAGAAGACGAACACTACAAAAATATCGCCCGAGCCTTGTATGCAGCTCCCGAAAAAAAAATGATTTTACGTTTTCTGATGCGTTGATTTTACCTCCAGCTGACACGTTGAAATTGGGGGCCTGCTTCAGCATGAGTTTGGGCAACATGTAGTCGTGCATGAGAAGAGAGGTGAGGAGTGCCACTGGGTTGACGTTTTCCGACGACACACTCAGTCTCGCACTCAGCATCACCAAGGACTCTGCTGAAACAAACATCCACATTTCATGGTTTACTGCTATTTCAATGCACTTTATTATTTCTTTGTTTGGGCAAATTATTGCAATTGAATGATAGCAAAGTAAGTCACTTTAATACAGAATCAAACTCAAATCTGAATTTCATGATTTCTACTTAAAAATATGAGTTTCGAAGTAAGTATACAAAGATGTCTAAACCGCTAAACGCCAACGTAATTTTCAATAGATTGATTTCAGCATAACATCCATCTGTTCATTTAACAAGCTGTATGGATTTACACAATAACACGTAAATCCTCTTTTATAAACTAACTCATTTTCCAATATCAACAAAGACAAAATGATACACAAAATCCATAAAATTGTTACGCAGAAATTTTGTATGACCTAACTTTTCAATTGGTTCTTTATTGGGGAGGAAGTTTTAGTTAGTTTAATAGGTTCTACCAAGGGTTCTCAACAATTAATGACGCGAAAATTAATTTCCATTGATGGCTCACCATTAATAGATTTTCTATAATGAATAATTCCATTAACTAGTTTTCAAGTAGGCCTTAATTTCCGTTACTAGCTAAGGTCTAATTGGACAACTTGAACATTTGAAGTTAACTTACGCGCTGAACGCCATTTCTTAGAAATTTCAATACACTACAAGCCTGCATACAATTCATCTAATTATCACAGACTTAACAGCTTGCTGTGAAATGCAGGATTGCGAGAACAAATGAGTTGCTTTTGGATTATTCAAACAACTTGCGGGCAACAAAATGGAAATGTGTGTGTGCTACAGAGATTACTCAGGGTTTTAACAAAATATATACGAAATTAATTACACCCTAATTATCATGAAGAAACGAACAGAAATCAACTCTGTCTCATACAAATTTGCATCTTCCGCACCTGCCAAAAATGTTAACAACGGGCTCAAATGGGTCTGCACTTCTTTGAAACCATTCTCATTTGTTGCGGACAAACTTATCATGAAGAACACAAGAATATATTAATGTTCATGCTGTCTCTGTCCGGTAAAAATTTAGAAGTTATATCAACAATTGGCGACAATTGTCAACAAAGCACTGTCTTCTTTTATTCAAAACTAGTACTCAAAATTTTGAAAACTAGTTGGTTTATAAATTATTCGTTTCAAAAATCTTGCAAAATATGTTCAGCCTAAAACTTTTCAGATTGAAAATTTTAATCACTATTGTTTATATATTGAAATTTGCTCGCTTTACTTTATTTTACGGTTTAACAACCATATGATTGGGTTGACTTATTTGCCATCAAAACCCACTATTGGCGGTTTTTTTTAGATTTTTATTTTTAAAATGGTTAGGGGGAGGTTTTATAAGATAACAAAACATAAAATTTATGAAAATATACTGCGACATCTTTCTGAAGGGCTCAATCATAATTATTCAAGGATTTGAGAGCTCTAGGTGTCTTATTCTCAAGGGACCTGGTTATTGTCAAGGGACCACTCTATCATAGTAGTACCGAGGCTTTTAGAAATGTAAACTAGATTAGTGTGTTGAGTTATAATTTGATAGGACGTGATTTGATAGGACGTGACGTGAGTGGGAAGCAGCAGCAGCAGAAGTTGAGTTGAGTTGTGTGGTGGATGCCTGGTTCTTGATGTAGTGGATGGTGCACCTGCAGATGACATAGAGGAGGAGGGAGTGGTTGGGCACTGAGTAGTCTGCCGCCTCTTCCATGCACAGTCTGTCCAGTTGGGAGAAGAATGCGAGCAGAGCGGGCGAGAGGGAGTAGATGACAGTGGACAGCAGTCTCATGTACTCACTCACACACTCGTACACTCTGACACACAACACAACACAACACACTCATTAACCACTTATTATTTACTCGGATTTTTTCAGAAGTTTGTGAATGTTTACCTATTTGCTTAAATGCACTAGTCTTACGAATCTAGGCTGAAAAATTGACGTCTCAAATCCTTGTAGTTTTCGAGAAAATTTTAACGTTCATCCCTGTCAAGGAAAATCTGACAAGGATTTAAAAGGTGTGGGGGGGGGGTTAGAATTCCCAAAACAAAACAAAGTTTTGGGAATAATGTTTTGTTTTGGGAATTCACAACGGGTCTAGGACAACAAGCCGACGGGACTTCAAGCCGAAGGGACTTCAAGCCGAAATTAAAACTTTACAAGCACCTCAAAACACTATTTTATTATCTGTAAAACGTTGTTTTTCAAAAATTTTGGCAAGTTTAGTCCATAATAAACGTTATTCATGACAATGCACCACTTGTGATTGGCATCCGTTAATAACATCAGCCGGTTTTTGAAATGCATAAATTATAAACATGAAAAAAGCCTTCAACCATGTTTTATTTTTCAACTTTCCGAAACATCATTTGGAGGCTTAAATTTTATGAAAACGCCAATAACTTGTGAAGAAAGATCATGAAATTCAGAAATTCTTCAAAAAAGTTTTCAAAATAATTATATTTCACGAGTTTATGAGGAACTTTTCGGCTTGAAGTCCCTAATTTTACGATTCGGCTTGAAGTCCCGTCGGCTTGATGTCCGGCACCCATTCACAACAATTCCCAAAGCAAAACATTATGAAGAAAAGAAAAGTACGTCAGTATTTAGACAACCGCGTATTCAGACTGGTCAGTATTTACTGTTTCAACCAATCAGAATCGAGACAAAGAAGAAATTAATAAATAATTATTATTTATTTTGGATTATTTATGTCTTTTCTCGATTCTGATTGGTTCATACAGTTTTTGTCTCCATACGCGGCTGTCTAAATACTGGCTGCACTCCTATGAATTATACATTGTTCAAGAACTGGAATAATAAAATATTCGCAGTCGGCAGGATTCGAACCTACGCGGGAAGATCCCATCTGATTTCTAGTCAGACGCCTTAACCACTCGGCCACGACTGCTTGATACTACACTGTCCCCAACTGAGTATAGACCACTAGTATTCTGACACTGCTTAGATATTCATTCACTGCTGCTGTTCAATAAAAGCCAAATCCACAAAATAATTGCCATCCTTGCAGGGCGCTACAACTGCATGACCACCAAATACCAAAATCCATACTATACATATTTACAATTGACATTACGGTGACGTCCCATTTGTACCAACGGTCATTTGTACCAAAATGAAAAATCGGTCCCATTTGTACCAAAATTATTCAACTCGATTTCTGATTGGTCGAATTGCGAGCCAACGAATTATTACATTAATTTTCTACTGTTCAAACAGATGAAAATTAAACAGCAGAATTGTGACCGCCGCAGTCGCGCCAACGTGTTGCGAGCTTGCCAACAGAGGGTAGGACTCTATACGAAAATTAGAGCCGGTTATCGCCGCAAAGCGGCGACGCGCGCATAGCGCGCCCACCGGCGACCTTAAACCAAGAGCTTAAAGTAGTCGGCTTAATAGTCTTAAGCCAGTTGAATATTTTTGGTACTAACGGGATTGATTTTTTATTTTGGTACAAATGGGACTGATTTATCATTTTGGTACTTGTGAATACCCACCGACATTACAAATGCCAAAGCTCGAAATTGATTTCATTTAGACGTCGTCTCGGTTCTTTTCCAGTTTCCCCCTTTCAAGCTGTAAAGTATAAAGAACAAATTTGTTCAGAATTGTCAATTTGTTGACCACGCCAAATTTCATTGCATTATGAGTATGACAACGTTAAATATACTTTTCAGTATTGAATTTGAAAGGGGGAAACTGGAAAAGAGCCGTCGTCTCCGTAACATCGTTTTGACGCAGGATTGCGCCAACTAATGTTCCACGCGAGCTAATTCCACTGGTGGGAGGAGGGGGGGGAAGAGGGGGGTTAAAAGAGGAAAGGCGGCGAAATAATAAGATGGGAGCTGTACCTCTCGGAGTAAGATGGTGAGGCGGAGGCAGCTGCAGCAGCTGTGAGGAATGAGGGACTGGCGGGACTGCTGCTACTGTTGTAGTTGTTGGTGTTGCTTCTGCTGTTCCTCAGTCGACACCCACACGGCAGCTCACCTACGCAACACAACAGACGACACTCAGACAGACAGAGAGACAGACAGACTGACAGACAGACTGACAGACAGACAGACAGACAGACAGAAAGGAAGGAAGGAAGAATAAATCACAAACATAACATACAGCACAGGCTGTTTTCAAAACACGTCCTTTATGAACCCTACAAATGGCTACAAATGTGATAGAGGAGGCGACTCCCGTCCCGGTAAAAACCAAGTGGGAGAGGAGAGAGGTGTCTAAAATAGAACAATTTACTAAATCAAATGCGCCGGTCGGCCCTTTCAAAACTGTTTCTCAAGCCTAATTAACCAGCCTTATTTGCTCTAACTTATTTCATACTTGTTGAAATTACCTAAGCACTAAATTGCTCCATTTTGAGTCTAGTATCTAGGACTTCTAGGGTCTTTTCGGTTATACCTCCCTAAATGAAAAGTCGAAATCAATTTTTGTGCTAATTTGGATCAATATTACTAAGAAATGCTGGCTGTCAATTTAGTACAGGACGAAACGAAGTAATTTCATCTCATTTAGCCTCAAACAGGTCTTTTTTCCTGTTTTTTTTGCCGTTTTCTTCATTTAAGTTTCACAAGTATGAGTCCAAATGCTTCCTGAATAGCCATGTATTACCTTTTTTTTGCAGTTTTCCGAGTTGATTCAAGGCTCTGGATATCTGGATAGCAGCCCGTCTTGTCGTAGTAATATTGATCCAATTTTGTAATCTTCTTACAAGTTTCTATTTCCATTTTCAGTTCAGTTTTTATTTTTCAGGGGGGGGGGGAGGTAACCGAAACGACCCGCTTTCTATTTACATCAGGGACGCGGTTAGGTTCTTATGGCCCTTATCACACTTGTACCGAATCTTTTCTCAATTCAAAAACAATTGGGCTATTAAACCTTTTCACTTTTCAATAGGCAGAAAAATTTTGCCCAATTTCGACATATTTCATAAAGTTGGCTTGATTTTTGTTCACGCTTGTCTTTGCAGTTTATCAAATTTTCACTGCATTTAGTGCTGATGAAGCTACTACTATAGCGACGGTTTGAAACAACCAAATAACCTGGACTAAAACAACGATCTCGAACTCGTTTCTCTCAAAATTGGTGAGTTTTAGACAAAAAGACCAGGACAAATATTATTTGGAATTTGCAAGCTTCTTTTCGGTGCAATTTATTTTGCAAAAAATAACACCAAGATTATACCGTTAAAGCCGTTCAATTCACTTGGTTTGAAGAGAAAAGGTGTTTGTGCCTGTTGTGATTGTGTTTTAACGTAGTAACCCTCACCTAGCAGCTAATTAGCTGCCAGTCAGTTGTGCTTTATACGGAGGTCATAGGACTTCGCGTCACTTTTATTCCCTTTAGACAACAGTCAGTTGTAATTCAACACAATTACTTTTATTCTTTTAGGTTAGCTTAGTTAGCTTTAGTATACCAGTGGTATTTGAACACATCTTAATATGGCGCAGTCAACTGATTCGAATCTGCGGGGAACTCCCGCCTTTTGGCTGAACCATACTGTAGAACCACCTACCCAATCGACTAATTGGATCGACCAGTTCCACCTGGCCATCATCGCCAAAGAGAACTTAGACATAGATATCCTGAAAGAGAAGTTGGGGTCGGAAACGACAACCCATATTATAGAAACCGCCCAGGATTCAGAAAACGAAACACGGTAAAACCAGGCAGGCCAGAAACAAAGAATTAATGCGAGTCTACGAAAATTCGGAGAAAAGGATTTTAGACGAGAAACGAAAATTCGGAGGGGGGGTGAGGAGAAACGAAGCAGACAAGAAAGTAAAATCCATCCTTTACTTGGCCTTAGTAGCCGAGGGAAAAAAGTGTTCCCTCGAAAACACTCAAGGTGAAGGTCTTATCCATTTCCTTCAAAGAATTTTTCGACCTTTTGAACGCAGCATTTGTCAAACCAGTGAACATTACGTTTGAACGATATAATTTTTTGAGCCGAAAACAGAAGGACAGAGAGTCCTACGAACAATTTTGGGAGCATTATCTGATTTAGCTAGACCTTGCAAAAACAGTATTAATGCAGAACGGGAATGGATAAGAGATGTATTCATATTCAAAATGAGAAATCGCGATCTCCAACGAAGACTCTTATCTGAAACGCTAAACCCAGTGGATGCACTGAACCAAGCAATTATCGATGAGAAAGGTTATTACAACCATCTCAAACTAACGAACATGACAAGGGCCAATAACAACAACAGCGTCAGGGTCTACAAAATTTATATTTCAGTAAAAAAGGAACCAAGTCTGAATAAAGAAGATCCAAAACCTGTATAAAATGTGGAAATGCTTTTACCAAAAGACATTTGAACGTTTGCCTAGCAAAAGAAATATTATATCAAATTTGCAAATACAAAGGACGCTTTGGAAGACTCGACAAATCAAAAGGAAGAAGGCCAGTTTATTGCTTGTTTTCTGATGTTGTGTTTTTGTTTGATGTAACCAATAAATTTTAACCAACTTTATTATTTACACTTTGCTATACTGATGCCTCGGCTTTTTACTGTATAGTAATTCAGGTGTTCTTTCTTCTTCTTCTTCTGAGCCTGAACAAATTTTAAGATTTTCCTGAAAAAATCATCACGACCTATATACTACGTTCATCAGCACTTTAAAATGAACAAACATTATAGCAAAAGCGGGGGGGTAATACTTACGCTAAGCAGGAAACAAACTCATTAATCGCTAAATCACACATTAACACAGAGGCGAAGTTGCACTTCGCAAACACAGGCAAAAAAAGACCGATAACGCAACTGGGAAAAACTGAATAAAACTTTGAGTCTACAAAACTTAATACGTGACGCACGTCAATTATGAGTCTACATATTTGCTAATAGACGCAAGCCAATTATGAGCATTAGCAGTACCAGTCAATTTGAAAAAAAAAGAAATTTACCAATAACATGCCTGAATTTATAGAGCGGACGTATTTCAACTAGTATACGAAAAAATTCGTTACAAACATCCGACCCTGCCCGGGTTCGAACCCTCTTATTTTGTTCAAGTTCTTGATTTCCAAAATGGCGGTAAAAAATTCCAAATATGTTTTTTTCCGAGAAAGCAACTTTGCTGGGCTTAAATATAGCTTAAATAAGCTATTGTTAGCCTGCTTGCTTGCTTTATTCGCTCGAAATTGCACTAAAAATCAGAAATTTAAACTTGAAGCTCAAAATTTGTATTTGCTTGAAAAAAAAACGTCGTTCTTTATCATTTGTATTTTAACTTTATTTTGTGACGCTTATTATATTCAGCGTGTCTTCTCTGCGGTCTGTCTAACCTAGACTCTGATAAAAAGGCTGCTCCCCCAAAGATCCTGCCGAGTACATTGGGAGGGTAGTGGAGACAGGCGGTGCGGATGTCTCGAACAGACAGAGGAGACTGTTCTGCAGCAGCTCCTTCACAATGGGAGAGAGGAGGAGGTAGATGTTGGCCCATCCTGTTGTCTTCAGGGGGTCTCCCTTCAGAAAGTTACTGATGTCTCCTGTACACAAACCACCAATGACGAAATATAAAAAAATATTTCACAATTTTGAAATCATAATTAATTGTTTTGATTAAAGCTACTGTTCAAATCATTATTTAAAATTTCAACTAGTTTGCTCAAAATTAAATAAAGCGAAAGGAGTTGTTGATTAAATGATTCAGTTGAAAACACCCAATATTTGAAATCCAACATCATTTCAGATAACACTTCAGGCTCTCCTTTTTTAATTAATTCAGTGGGTACATAAGTGGAGTTAAACCAACGTATGAACTGTTCAACTCTGCACGGAAACAGCTGTTGTTTGTTATCCTTGTTAAAATTAAAATTCCATGCAATTTTTGAGGGTTTATGTTTCTTTCCCGGGTAGAATGCTTCAGCGACAAGCAACCAGCATGGGTAGTACAGTTTCATAAAAACTAACAATCAAAAAACATAAACTTACAACTGATTTTTAAACTGCACGACCTCAACCATTCCAGGCCGAACATCAAATTTGCATTCGATTTAATTATTTACACTCGCAAATCAAGCAACAGCATTTTTTCTTGAAAGATTCCTGGGGGCAGATTAAAGTTCGGCACTACGCTGCTGTATTCAATCAAGACTACATGTGAATTTTCAACAGATGAAGTTCGTTTACATTGTCAGCTGGTAACTAATTTTGGCATTTGGACTAAAGCCGATCATCAAACATATTTGCTTTTCATTAAACGCTTTTCATGTTTGCTTGCATGATTAACAGGCACGTAAAGTTGAAAAACTTAGGTGGGTTATGGAGAAGGAAAGAGGGTAGGAGAAAGAGTGCAATCGGCGGATAATCAACTAACCGCCATATCTTGAAGCCGAAATTGCATCAGAATAACGGAAATTAAATCACAATTACGTAACAATTGCATAACAACAATGACACTTTGTTGTTATGTTACATAACAAAATTAATTTTCGGTTTGTTGACCTACCACAGTGTAATTAACCTACCATGTTCATTCATGATGGGAAGCAAAGAGTCTGCCAGTGCATTTGGACAGATGAAGCCCACATGATTAAGCACAGTCACGAATGGCCTCACTAGATCAATGATGGGAAATGCATTGGAGAGAGAACAGATGTCACTCACACAGTGCACTCCCTGACAGGTCACAGAGGTGTAGGGTGCTGCGAACAGTCTCCTCTGAGCACTTGCTTGCGTCTCCGAGGACCCTGAACAACAAGAAGTTAGTTGAAATAATTCAAAAAAAAAAACATTGCAGGAGACTTCCACAAGCAATGCCTAGTGAAAAAAATGATGAGTTTTCTGTCGAATGAAGAAATATTTGGCTCATTTAGCGGATCAATTTAGCAATCTACCTCCTATTCTCGCGTGGGTGGATAGCTCAATGGGTAATTAAGACATGTTTATAACCACTTGAAAAATGTTTGAATGATATGAAATCATGAACCAGATCCTCCAACAAATGAGGAACGACAAAATCTTACACACAGAGGGGAAGATCCGCTTCCCAAAAACAAGCGAGAAAAATTCAAAAAAGCTCTAAACAGGCAAAACAAAGTGAAATAAGAAAGAAAACAAATATATTTGAGAAAAAAGCTTGTTGAAATTAGGAGTATCACGTTTTCACATCTGCTCCACGACTGCTTGTTATTTTACTTACACTAGCCATCAATAAAGCAGCTACAGTTTATCAAAATGCCAAAGCTATGCAGCAAAAAGTCGACCAAAAAATAACTATTTCGATGCTCTGGATTTGAATCTCCGCATTTGCTCCACATTCGCTTGGAAAGTAAACTAGTGCCCCAGCTATAGCTGGATGCACCTGTGTGAATATTTTTAAACAAAGCCAATCGAAGATTGGAAAAGAGTAATGAACGCAAGTAAACATTAAAAAAACACTTACTTTATTTAAAAAATCTCAACTGGAATTTCAAAAAAAATCGATGCCCTAACTTCTAGAACAATTTATGATCGGCATTTTTTGATAACAATAACCCAAATTGAAAAAACTGGATCAACAGGTATAATTTTTATTCCGCTGGAAATCTAAAACTTAAATTCCACTTTCGAAACTAGAAATCGTTCACGTTTTTAGCGCCATTTCCACGTCCGTATTTGGAGAGTGCTATTTACTTCACTTTCAGCAGATGAATTTCGATTGAACTCAAAAAGTGCATATATACCTAAGTGCATTCATAAACGCATCAATATGTATGAATGCATACCTGTAGTCATTAGAGCATTTTAAGACTTTATCCTGTAGAAAAAAACCGAAAAAAATCACCAACATCTATATAAGAGTCTTCACTACGTTCATTATTTTTAATTAGTTCTCCGAACCTATGTTTTAGATGCAACATGCGTCAAACATCTGTAGTTCCCTACAAATTTTCACTCGTAAAAAGTATTTACTTAAGGGAAAATTGAGTTTCGATGGCCATTTTTTTCAAAAACACTCACCGAAGCTTAACAGTGTCTTTTAAGGCATCTCCAGAAAAAAAATCAGCAAGACCTATATGAGAGTCTTCACTACGTTCATTATTCTTAAAAACAGTTAGCAAATGAATGCTTAAATAAATCTGCAGTTCTGTTTTTCGAAATATACTCAGAAGCGAAGCTCTGCTTTGCAAAACTTTGGCGAGAACACTACAAAAAGCAGCTCTATTAAGTGCAATAAGAAGTGGAAATAAGCCTCGAATAAGTAAAAATTCGGCTACGTCTCGGATTCAAACCCACGACCTACTGCGACCTAGAGATTCTGAATATTAAGCACTAACCAGTCAGCCACGGACGCTTACTTGATGACAAACACTAGCCAAAAATCAAGCAAAGAAGAGATGCTATGCAATTACCAATGCTACAGCGAAATTTCCATATAAGCTAACACTTTCAATGACACTTTTGTTAGCGAGTTAGGGTAGAAAAAAGAAGGGTCGTACAAATACACTAGCGCTCGCAAGCTGACTTTAACTTCTAACAACATGACTTTAACTTCTGAAAGACACTCAATAATTTAGAAGACGAACACTACAAAAATATCGCCCGAGCCTTGTATGCAGCTCCCGAAAAAAAAATGATTTTACGTTTTCTGATGCGTTGATTTTACCTCCAGCTGACACGTTGAAATTGGGGGCCTGCTTCAGCATGAGTTTGGGCAACATGTAGTCGTGCATGAGAAGAGAGGTGAGGAGTGCCACTGGGTTGACGTTTTCCGACGACACACTCAGTCTCGCACTCAGCATCACCAAGGACTCTGCTGAAACAAACATCCACATTTCATGGTTTACTGCTATTTCAATGCACTTTATTATTTCTTTGTTTGGGCAAATTATTGCAATTGAATGATAGCAAAGTAAGTCACTTTAATACAGAATCAAACTCAAATCTGAATTTCATGATTTCTACTTAAAAATATGAGTTTCGAAGTAAGTATACAAAGATGTCTAAACCGCTAAACGCCAACGTAATTTTCAATAGATTGATTTCAGCATAACATCCATCTGTTCATTTAACAAGCTGTATGGATTTACACAATAACACGTAAATCCTCTTTTATAAACTAACTCATTTTCCAATATCAACAAAGACAAAATGATACACAAAATCCATAAAATTGTTACGCAGAAATTTTGTATGACCTAACTTTTCAATTGGTTCTTTATTGGGGAGGAAGTTTTAGTTAGTTTAATAGGTTCTACTAAGGGTTCTCAACAATTAATGACGCGAAAATTAATTTCCATTGATGGCTCACCATTAATAGATTTTCTATAATGAATAATTCCATTAACTAGTTTTCAAGTAGGCCTTAATTTCCGTTACTAGCTAAGGTCTAATTGGACAACTTGAACATTTGAAGTTAACTTACGCGCTGAACGCCATTTCTTAGAAATTTCAATACACTACAAGCCTGCATACAATTCATCTAATTATCACAGACTTAACAGCTTGCTGTGAAATGCAGGATTGCGAGAACAAATGAGTTGCTTTTGGATTATTCAAACAACTTGCGGGCAACAAAATGGAAATGTGTGTGTGCTACAGAGATTACTCAGGGTTTTAACAAAATATATACGAAATTAATTACACCCTAATTATCATGAAGAAACGAACAGAAATCAACTCTGTCTCATACAAATTTGCATCTTCCGCACCTGCCAAAAATGTTAACAACGGGCTCAAATGGGTCTGCACTTCTTTGAAACCATTCTCATTTGTTGCGGACAAACTTATCATGAAGAACACAAGAATATATTAATGTTCATGCTGTCTCTGTCCGCTAAAAATTTAGAAGTTATATCAACAATTGGCGACAATTGTCAACAAAGCACTGTCTTCTTTTATTCAAAAAAACCTTAATCGGATGCGCTTGACATCGTCGTGCTCTTGCTGTCAACGAGTTTCTCAAACAAAATAAACCAGTTCTGTTAAAAATCAATTTCATCATGCACAAACTTCAGACGCAGTTACTCGGAGCCAAACTGCGACAACAAACTAATTTGTTGCCGGTTTGTCAAAATGTCACGCGATGGTCCAGTACGTATCAAATGCTCATCCGTTATAGTGAAATCCCAATAACGTATCCAATTATTTTGGTAATGAAGGTTTTCTGATTGACTTTTTAACCAGCCCCAGGGAAAATAATGAAATTGATCAAGTTATTCAAAAACTGGAAGGGATAGACATGGTCACAATAGCCTTGCAGAAAGACAGTTTGGATAAGGCAGATGCTAGAAGTTTGTTGGACGGTATCAAAGAGCCTTACCCCGAGCTGGATCCTTTCAACAAGTACTTGTCCGACACCGCAACTATTAGAAAGTACCCCCCTTTCGAATTAGGCATTTCCTACCCACTACGAAGAGCAACTTTTCTTAAAATACAACGAGGCAATTTAGTACAAAAAAACTGTGGAGAAGGTCTACAATCTTCCCTATCAATGTGAACAAATTCTTAGTTACGTTTCTCTATCTCGAAGGGTGTGATGGGTCTCTTTGCAAACTGGAACACTTCGGGTGCCACCACTTTCATCCACTGTGTGAGGAATCCCTCGTTCCTACTCCCACTACTGCTGCTGTTGCCCCCCTGCTGCGACGAATCAACCATGAACGCCGAAATGCTCAACTGTGATTGGGTAAAAGCTGCTTGAGCGTTCATTGGCTGCAAAAAGCTTTTCCCAATTGATTTGATCAATACAATAACTAAAATTCTTCATGATACAAAAAAAATTGATTCGTATGTACTTCTTCGATTAAAATTGAGTTCCCTAATATCTCGCCTAATTCAGATGCAAGTGATTAAATCAGTTTTCAGCCTTTCATCATTCTATTAATTTTGAAGTCCTTAGGTAGAGCTCCAGAAAAAAAAATGCGGTCCATTATTTCTTTGGCTTTGCTAATGGCTGAGCAAACTGACGAGCATTATTGACGAATTTTAAAAATAAAATTCCATTAGCTGCCGATTGTCACAGTGTTTTACCACATTTCCGATTGGAATACAAAAGGAGTGATTTTGAGCATCTGCAAAAATGTTAGAATCAATTGGTGATGGCTGACTGGTTGGGGATGATTTGGCACAATGATTGGGTAGTTGTCAATGATGACCGCATTGTAGAGATTGTCCATAGGAGAGGTCACAGTCACAAGTATGGCCAGAAGTGAGTTGCATGAGGTATGTATGGCCTGTATGTCCTCGTGGTCTGAGTTCAGCACCACCCAGCTGTCGTCATACAGCAAACTCTTCAGTCTGTTTGTACAGGCGAATAGCAGACCACTACACAAATAACACACTTTAGCACATGTCACACATCTGTAAGTTCATACAAGCAACAAGCCAGCCAAGACTCAGTTGCCTTCACCATTAATCCACTGCTGCATGATCAAATAAAACATGTCGGCTCGTATCAGAGAAAAACCCGAATCTTTCAACTGCTCTTTAACGCCTCTACAATAGTTCCACAAGCAATGCCAAGTAAAAAAAATGATGAGTTTTCTGTCGAATGAAGAAATATTTGGCTCATTTAGCGGATCAATTTAGCAATCTACCTCCTATTCTCGCGTGGGTGGATAGCTCAATGGGTAATTAAGACATGTTTATAACCACTTGAATAAGGGAACGCATAAGGAACGCCAAAACTTACACACGGAGGTGAAGCTGGGCTTCGCAAATACAAGCGAGGAGAATGCAAAAAAGCTCTAAACAGGCAAAACAACGTCAAATAAAGAAAAGATTACAAAAATTCCTTGATAAAAAAGCTTGTTGAAATTAGGACTATCACGTTCTCACATCTTCTTCTCCACGACGGCTTGTTATTTTACTTACACTAGCCATCAATAAAGCAGCTACATCTTATCAAAAAGCCAAAGTTTTGCAGCAAAAAGTCGACCAAAAAATAAAAATATTTCGATGCTCCGGATTTGAATCTCCGACCTGTTGATAAGGAGTCTCACGTCCAAATAAATGAAAAAGATTCCAAAAAACTATCAAAAATTGAAAAATTTGACTTTTCTTAATTTCATAAAGTTTTCTATAATAAAGCATGGGAATAGCCTATTATGCAGTGAAGATTTTCACACCCTGTTTCATATCAAACCCTTAAAATCAGATTTAGCTAGTAGTTTTGGAGAAAACTGATCAAATTTCTAAAGAAAACGGTAAAAAGGTCACAAACTGGATTATTCCGAAGTCCATATCGGCTTTTCTACAAACAAATAGGGTAAAACAGACAACGCCAAGGAAAATCTAGGCACCTTGAAAGTTTGAATTAAATATCAACCCCAGAATCAGCAGGTTAAGGTTTGAAAAGAAAGAATAAATTTCAAAAAGTTTCAAATAAGAACAAAAACGGGCAACATTTCAAAACGAAGGGCATAGCCACTCTCGCAGGGAAGGTTCAAATAAATGTTTGGCAGGTTAGTTTGAGAAAATCAAAAAGTTTTAAAAACGAACCAAAAGGTCAAAAATGGGGTGTTTGAGGCCAAAACTTTTTTCTACCGAATTTAGGGAAAAGCCGTTCGAGAAAAGGAGATCCCCCAGGTTTGTTCTTTTGATTGAAACGTTCATCTCAGATTTGTGCATTTAAAACATGAGAAAATTCTAAAATAGATCAAAGAGCACCCTTCTAAAACTTTCGAAGACTGTAGAACGAGGCGTTTTATGAAAAGTGACTATCAAAATATGCAGGCACATAAAAAAGCAGCCAGTTTGTCTATTATTACCTTTTTTGCAAAAATCGGTACAGTAATTTGAAAGATAAATCAGAAGTTCTGCGAAAAATGCAAAAATTTTCCAAAGCGTAGCTTTAAAAAAAACTAATCCCATACATTTAGATAAAACCTGTTGTTTTCAAACGCGACCTTTTACTAGCCAAAATTAAAGCAGCAACATGAGCTATTAAATTGCATACGCTTAAATAGGCCTGAATATGACTAAATTGAAATATAACAAAAGTGCCACCAAATGAGCACTTCTATTTGCGACTTAGGTTCGAAAAAAATTTGCTCGTAAAAATACACTTCGCTTGTGTAAATATTAAAGCTCAAAGATTAAATTCTAAGTGAAACAATTCAAAAAAACTGAGGCACACAAAGCGACTTTTTTCTGTCCTAAATGAAAAAAGCTATTGCTTACATTATTAAGACGTTGCGGATAACAGTTTTTGGTATTCAGATACAAGGCTAGAGCAAAACCCTGGTAAGTTGCTTTTCTCGACGAGATAATGATAGCCCACAGATGAGGCAATGGTTTCTCATAAACTTCAATTTTTTTCAAACTTTTTCTCGATACTAATATAAAATAAACTTCAGCCGGTCAATCGATTGCGTGCTATGAACATAGCCAACTAATAGTTGGAAAAAAGTTTGAACGCAAAAAACAGGAAAAAACTTGACTTGGTTTTTGAAATAAACTCAACTTTCGAACTTCGAGGAAAAAAATAGATGGCCTTAAACCTCTTTGAATTTTTAGAACAGTTTATGATATGCTTTTTTGGTAAAACTAACCCAAGTTGAGAAAACTGGATCAATAGGTAAAAATTTTATTTCGCTGGGAAACCTGATAATTATTTCAATTTTCGAAATTAGAAGTCGATCACGTTTCTCTTGAACTTTACACTTTTGCTGTTCGATAGTGGAGTTTGCCTTCTTTTTAACAAAAGAAATGAACTGAACTTAAAAAATTATGCGTGAACAAATTTAAGACTTTTTCCTGAAAAGAAACTAAACAAACCTAAACAATCACCAAGACCTATACAAGGGTCTTCACTATTCATTACTCTTAAACAGATCAACCATCTGCGTTCGTTTGCTGACGTCTTTTTGTAACGTGTTACCGTTTTTGCTTAGGGGGGGGGGTGGTGGGGGGAGCTCAATTGGTCATTACGGGGAGGCGATTGCTCAATTGATCCCATTTAGCTTTCCTTAGCTTCAATCGGAATGTTTTTCAGCCGAATAAATTCGTCGCAAACACGAGTTAAAACAAAACAAGTAATATCGCGCGCGGTGCAGGTAAATAAGACGGCAGGACATTACAACGAGCGTTTCTTTAAAACAATCAAATGAACTGTTCGATTTTAAGCGATTTATAAACACAAAGAAAGAATTGTGTAGAGCGCCGTCTTCAAGTCCCAACAAAAAAAATTGTCCCTTAACAGCTGTCGACTTAATTGCCAGCCGGATAACATCGCACGAATTAATGCTCCCAAATGGCTTCAAAAGCTGGAACAAAAAACAAGCCACAAAAAACGCGCTTAACGAAATGAATATAGATAATGCTGATTCCAATAGATATATAATAACTAAACGTCATAAAAAAAGTAAATAGAAAAAAATCAGCACAAATTTGAAAACATAGCCGACAAAAAGTTGGAAAAGAGTCAATAAACATAAAACAGGAAAAAACTAAGTTTTGAATTTTAAGAGAAAACAAACATGGCCTTAACGCTTTTTGAATTTCAAGACAATTTATGATAACCCTTTTTTGATAAAAAAAACCAAATTTGAGACAGTTAGGTTTATAGGTAAAAAGTATTTCGCTGGGAAATCTGAAAACTAAACTGCACTTACGAAACTAGACGTCATTCACGTTTTTCGTGATTTTTACATTTTTGCTGTTCGATAGTGGAGTTTGCCTTCCTTCTTTTACACGAGGCAAAATTGCACTTCGCATACGCAAGCAAAAATATGACCAATAACTAAGTGACGCACGCCAATTTAGAGTCTACATAATTAATAAGTGACGCAAGCCAATTATAACGCATTTGCAGTACCAGTCAATTTGGAAAAAAAAAAGAAATTTACCAACTAACATGCCTCAATTTAAAGAGCGGACCCATTTTAGCTAGTATACGAAAAAGTTCTTTAAAATATCCGACCTTGCCCATGTTCGAACCCTCTTATTTTGTTGCGGGTCTCCTTCCATACCTCTACGCTACAGATAGCTGATTATTGTACTTAATAGCTGGCTATTGATCAAAATGAACACCTTGAAAATAAACACATTTTGTGGCAACAATATTTGCGAATTAGGTTGGAAAAAAAGATAGTTCGTACTATAACACAAGCTCTGCTTGTGTAAAAACTGTCTAATTAAACTATAAACCACAGTTGTTTCCACCTATTAAATTGCTTAACATCCACAATAATTTAAACAATTTATTTATCGTGAGTTGCAAAATGTTTAGCAAAAAAGAACCGAAAAAATGTTTAGAAAAAATCAACTACCTAATAAAGAAAATTGAGATGCCTGTTAGAATTCGATGTTTGAAATATGTGTATGCATCATAAACTAGCATTTCATTGTTTTTATTTGTCATAAGAATTTCCATTGTCAACACGAACTCGAGAGCAAAAACAATGACATTATGATCTCTCATGTCTACGTTTGGCAACATTATCAGTCAAGTGATAATTGTGTAGGTATGTGTAAATGATTTGAGTCCTGCGTTAAATTTGTCTCTAACATGCTGCTCAAAAAAAATCCTCGTCTAATTGCTCAGTTTCGTGGCCTTATCGATTTAATCCTTCCTATTGAGAGCTTATCAAAATAATCCGGTCATTAACTAGTGAGGCAATAGCCCGGACAATTTTAGGACAATTTTGGGAACCAAATGTCTTGGACACATTTTGCGTTTTGGTTTGTTTTTGCCGGGACATAAATGTCTGGGACACAAATGTCCTGAAACGAAAAAAAAAAACATACAATCAGAGCATCAAAATCTGACACTTGGAGAGGACAGACAATGGGATCCTAACAACGGGATCTCAGGATCCACTAAGCGTCTACCCTTACAGACTGTATTAATTAGGGGAAAAAACCAGACAAAATAATCAGTCAAAAATTTTTCTACCTTAAAATTTTTCATGACAAAATGCATAAAATCTATTTCAAAACTTGGTGCAAACTGGTGTCCACATCTATGTTCCACTTGCTCTAACATTGCTATTTTCTTTATGAGATGATGTGATTAAATTTTTTTTGTTTTTTTCTGTATATCTGAAAACTTCGGTATCTCGAAAACTAAAATTTGGCAGGATGAGACCTCTCCAGCATGATTATATCACTTTTTATCAATACCTCTAACTTCATTTCGATCTGATGTGCGTGACATACATAATTAGCACCGGAGATAGCCCAGAGGATCTTAACTGTCATGAGGTTATTTTTGTTCTTTAGACATCGAAGCGTTCACGGAATTTCCAACATTAAGGAACAAGGAGACAAAATTCAAACCATTATTTTGAAAGTAAACACTTTGCATCACTGCCCGAGTGCATATTCCTTGTGCATGTTCTTGGTACAAAAAAAGCCAAATTGGTGACAATATCCGGGGTACTATAAACAAATCTGAACGAAGTTAATTAAAATAAACTGCTCTTTGTGACGTCTGAAATCAACTTTCAACCATTTCAGTGCGTAAAAACCCCATCAAAAATCTAAATAACTACTAAGTGCCGTTTACTGAGCAATTAAAGTGCTCAAAAATTTAATAATTGCTAGAAAATTTGGAATTAACAATGAACTTGTTAGTATGAAAATGGGGTCTTTTCTGTTATACGGCCCAAAATTCATCGTTTTGCTGTATTGAAAACTGGATCATACTAACTAATTCGGATTGACAAATGCGAAGGAAACTTGAAGCTTAATTTCGAACATAATAGCTCATTCAAAATTTTGCTAAGAGAAAAGAGCGTGAAAGTGTGAGTGCCTGCCTGGTATGATGAAGTATCATGAGGATGTCACTCCTCATCTGGTGAACTCTGCTGTGCGATGGCTTCACACTAGAGAAGCGCAGCAGCCACATGTTCAGTGACTTGTTCAACACGTGGGCGGACACTCTAGTCGCCACCTCGTTCGGCAGAATCTGAAAGCACATCAAACCATAAAGGACTGCTGCTTCATGTCTGTGCCTCTTTTCCCATCTCCCCACATAGCAATTATATTATCCTTCCTATTATGGCTCAAGGCCCGGCGGGTTCACAAAAAATGCCTATCATTCAATTTCATACTATGAAACAAAATGCTTATCATACTATTTCATACACCAATAAATAGTATGAAAATAGCATGATACAAATTTTTTCCATACTATGAAATTTTATATTAAGTATTTTTTGCAACATTTTGGAATTAAACAAGGATAGCCGGTTGCTGTTCCGACCACATTTTCAGAAAAAAAATAGTTTTTGCAGTTTTTTCTTCAAGATAGTGCCTTTTTTGTACGTCGTAAAATAATACAACTATACGAACGCGCAAACAATTAGTGAAATAGGCATAAACGAATCCAATGGTCTCCAAAAAAAAATTTAAGAAAATAAAAATTTCGAAATTGTTTTCAATTGTTTGCAAAAGTTTTTAATATTTTTTAAAAAATTTTTCTTGCCAGAGAAGAGCTAAATGAAGCTTCCTTTTCGTAAAACCAATTTTTTTTAGCCTAAACTTTTAAATTTCATAAATAACAAATGTTACTCGATCGCTTGACTCCCACGAAAATAGTTGAAAAATCAACATTTCAAATCGGTTTTTCTCTACAACTTTTGGGAATTTTTTAATAAGGTTCGAATCACGACTGAAAGGGCTTTAATGTGATATATCATTCAACCCAGTCCGATGATTATTTGTGGTACCTGATTTTGCGTGGAAAACGGTCGGAACAACAACAAGATTGTTGCCATACTTTTTGTCACAAAGACTTTATGAAAATAGCAAAAGCTATTTTTTGTACTATGAAAATGCATGATAAGCATTTTTTCCATAAATGAAAATTTAAAAAATCCATCCGAAACAATCCTACCATGGTTTTTCTGTCATAAGAAAACCCAGAGTGTAGCTGACAGTTACCACCCAGATAAACTGCATTTGGTGATATTAGCCATGTAATTTAATTTTAACATTTTCACACAGAATTATATACTAAAACGGTAACTTTTTGTATGTAACTAGAAAAATTTTACTTGGAAAATTTCGGTAGTTGAGAAAAGAGGCCTGTTTTTTGTCAGAAGGATTTTCCAGAACAATTCCAACTGGCAAACCACTACAAGACCTTTAGAAATCGAAACCAGGACGACAACAGCATCGCCACAAAGGTCAGTTGCCCAGGGTGCGGAATACAGATAACGACGAACAACTTAGCCAGACATATGACTAGGAAGGGATGTCAAGCTCAGAATCTCCAAACCCAGGGCGCAATAGGAAACAAGACAAGAGAAAGAACTAATTGATATGGCATTCTGTAATCGTCAGAGTTACCTTATGGGCGTCCTCTATGATTTGATGTTGCATGAAGTGATGCCAGGATTGGACTGTGTTGGAGACAGTATTGATGTCAGTCGGAGGCGGACGAAGTGACGAGTAGTTGTTGCTCTCTGCATCTTGTAGTATTGCACATACACTCATCTCGTGCATCGCTAAAACAAATATGAAGCATTGCTTTAATGAAGCAGAATAATCATATGTAATTTCATAATTGACCAGCTGACCTACAACTAGCTTACTATATCGCTCGACTCCCAGACAACCTAAAGGGTCCCCCCCTTTGGTAATATTTTACGACACCTTTACCACATCCATTTTGTCTGACCGACCCTCAATTTATCTAAATGCGCTATAAAAATTCGCCAATAAACACTATTCTGATTGGGGAGGTCGAGGTTTTTTGAAAACAATTTTTCAAAATTTTTGGCAAAAATCTTTTTTTTTTTTAGCGTTTTGAGATATTCCGGAAAATCAATTTGTTCGACAGATAAAGTTTTCTATTTTTTTTTTCAAATTCCAACCCTCTTCGAAAATTCTAGACCCACCCGTGGATGCACTTTAAAATTCGTCCCAGAAAACTTGTTGTATAGGCCAAACAAAATCAATTTGGATCAACTACTTTGTCTAAAAACATATATCCAACTCAATAAAAATAGTTGACCCGTTGGCCGAAAAACATTCAAAATATCTATTGAATGAGCGGGGAAGATGCTTTTTCATAGTTGCCAATTTTCAGTTCTTCAATGTTGGTTCAGGAGTTTCAAATGCAGCAAAAACTCACTTCGCATCTTCTGTATGAGCACTTGGCAGAACTCAGAGTACTGTTTGTGAACTAAAGAGAAGGAGGAGCGGAACTTGATGGGCAGAGGGATCTCCCCAATCACACTGAAACAACCACAACAACATTGAATCGATAACATTTGAAAACGAAGATAGCCGATTGCTGTACAAACAGCACAGAATATTCCGATCACGCAAATGTTCATAAAATAAATTTAAAAAAATATTCATTTGATTTCTTTTTCATTTTTTGTTGTTTATTTTTGAATAAGTGAGGAGAATAAATTAATAAATTAGCCAAAAAGGCCAGTTAATATGAAGTTTTGAAAAAAAAATCCCAGAAAAATTGAAAATTCTGTCTGAAACAAAAAATCAAGCCCGTTTTTCTCGACACTTTTTCAAAAGAAAAATTAAATCAGAATTGCGACTGAAAAGGCTTTAAAATGAATTAAGCTACAACAAGAATTAAGTTTCAATCGTAGCAATTATACAGCATTGGACATTACACAACCAAAAACAAGCAACTCTGAGCGGACAGCTGACGAACCCATATGGGTTGCTAGGAACTGCCCTGATATGATACCAGTCTTGATCGGAATCAGAAGGAAAAAAACAGACCCTACGCCATACTTCCTTTCCTCTTCGTGAAAAGTTCGGAATAACAAGGCTATAAGTTTTGGTTTCAAGCACTAAAATATAATGAAACAAAACCCTAAATTGAATTTTTTCTACTTCTAATATTTTTTTAGCTTTTCGTAAAAAAATTCCAGCATTTTTCCAAAATTTGAGAAAAAAAACTAAATTTCAGACAAAATTTTTTTTAAAATGAACTCTTTCTACATATCTATTTTCAATCCGAGTCACAATTGAAAAAGCTCTTATACGACGTATCACTCGTTCTCTAAGTTAGAATACTTCTAGTACTCTTCCGAGGAGAACAACTAACTTATGCAGACAGATGTAAGTGCTGTTTTCTGCGCGCGAGAGTGTGTTCGTGTTATATGCTGCGCATAAAGTGAGCTCAAACTTCGCAAACGAGCTAAAAACGGCAAAAATAGCTCTATAAGGCTCAAAAGGTGAACAAAGGAAAAACGTAAAACTAATAAGAAATCTGCTATGTCCCGGAATCAAACCCCGACCTGAAATATTTAAACTCCAGAACATTTTTGTTCAATTTTACCACTATGCTCATCAGAACTGATCCAAAGATGCAGCCCCCTCCCCTCAATAATTTTGATCCCCCTTAATGAAAAAACCCTTTTTTGTTCAGTAAGCAGCAAAATTAAACCACATATAACGCTAATGCAGCAAAATCAAAATCAAACCAGATATATTGTTATTGCTGGAAAAACGCCGCCAAATATTTGAGCACTTGAGTTAGAAAAAAACTGACTTCGTAATATAACAATACGCTGGGTATGTGTAATCGTGAACTTTTGTGAACATAAACCCCAAAGAATTACTCCCAGAAATTTGTCCTATTTCACAGTTCGGTTTGGTTCTAAGTTTTTGTTATTATAGACGCATACAAAATATGCGCAAAAATATTACCTCGTGATGTGGTTACTGAATGTATGCACAATCCAGGCCGCCGAAAAATTCAAATACATCTGAGTCATTGGGGCAGAATCAGGTGCCAAATTACACTGACGATTCATCTCGCCCAACAGCGCCTTCACAGTCGCCAGAAAGGAGTCCAAAATTGGGGCGCAAATTGAGTCAACGGACAGACAGGTTTTGAGATAGGGCAGACACCAGTTATACATGTCAAGCAACGATTTAACTTGATGAGGTATCTTTTGTGGCGTCGAAGTGAGACAAAAATTGAAGTCATTGCACACATTTGCAGTTTTGTTTGAGTTCTTGGAGTCGAACGTAGCTTTCAAATCTTCCAGACATTTGTGCGAATATCCCGTGAGCTGGATTTTGAGACTCCTAGATAGATGCTGTTCCAGATTAGACAAAACTACTCTTATCCAAAGGTACCTTCCAATGTCCTGATCCTCCAGGGCATTGTACACAGTCGCGTTTTCTTTTGCTGCAATCCCTAAGAGCAATTAATTTCATTGAAACTTTCAAATCTCATTTACAAATCCAACAAGGTAATTGATTAACCCAACTCACTCTAAAAACTTCGAGAAACGAGAGCACCCGAGTGCTGTGCAATCATCACAAACTTCCAACAACATTCATTAAAAAATGGAAACAATTTGCCAAGTTTGAGCGTTGTGGGACAAGAAGTGTGACGAAAGCAGAGAGAATTAGTATATCAGTCATAATCGACTAGTTATCTTCAAAAAAAGAATCGCAAAACGAAAAAAAAAAATCAAACAGAGCCACAGACAGTTGGAGAAGAGTACGCGAACGCAATAAAACAGAAAAAAAAAACGACTTGTTTATTGAAATATCTCAACTTTCGAATTTCAAAGAAAAAAAGATACCCTTAAAGCTCTTCGAATATCTAAAACAATTAATATTGACGCTTTTACGATAAAACTTACCTAATTTGAGAAAACTGAATCAAAAGATAATTATTTTATTTCGCTGCAAAATCTGAAAATTAAACTCCATTTTCGAAAATAGAAGTCGATCACGTTTTTGTGACCTTTTATTTTTCGCTTTTCGATAGAGGAGTTTCCCTTCCTTTTAACAAATGAAATGAACTGAACCACCTCAATCAAAAATCAACTCGCGAAAAAGTAAAATCGAACCTGAACAAATCTTAAGACTTCCTGAAAAAACCAAAAAAAAAACTTATCAATTTTTTCATTTGCTACTTTTTGCCGAAAAAGAGCTAAACGAAGCTTCAAAAACACGTTTTTCAGGAGTTTAATTAAATTTTTGCGGCTTAAATACAAAATGATAAAACCTAGATTCTCGAAGTTAAGCTAGAAAGTAAAATTTTAAACCGGAATTGAGATATTTATGATAAAATTTTTTGTCGTTAGAATGAAAAGAACTTTAATACGAAATATCACTGAATCCTTTCTGATGAATATCTGTGGTACTTTATTTTGCAAAAGAAAAACATGAAAAAAAACACCTCGAGATAAAGTTCTTAGTCACTTTTAATGATGGGAAAAAAAGTTTTGTCCGACCACTGAATGCGTCGAGAACTTAGCATTCAGGTGTTTTTAATCATTAAATCGCAAAAAGATACAAGGGGTCTCGAGCTGCAATGAAAAATTTCGGAAAATGAATCCAATTTTCAGAAAATGGTATGTTATTTCGTTTTTCCGAAAAAAATAAAGTTAAAACGTATCAATTGTATCTTTTCACGGCCACAATTAGGCTAGCTATAATTTTATTTCTACTTATATTAACATAGAAGGGACGCCAAAATGGTGGACACTTACAAAAATGTGCTCTAAAATGCAAGAAAATTTATAACACAGAGGCGAAGCTGAGATTCGCACCACTTGCGATACACAATAAAGCTCCAAAATTCAAAAGATAATGTGTCTCAAACTTGAAAATCAATAACCTTCAAAACAAAAAGAGGATTTGGACTACTTTATCCATTTCTCTATCCATTTCTTTCTGATAACCAATAGACGAAATGAAAATGATAAGAAAACAATTCGATCAAAGATTGAGACACAAAAAATCCTAAATGTACTCGAAAACTGTTCATAAAATTTTGCAACCAAACAATCTGCATATCCACCCTATCGAGGGTGAAAGGCCCAATCCGCTAATTGCTATAGTATAAGACCAAAAAGCAAAACAAAAACGAAGAACAAATTTCAACACAGAGGCGAAGTTGCACTTCGCATACACAAGCAAAAATATGACCAATAACGCTACTGGGAAAAACTGAACGAGTATAACTTTGCGTCTACAAAATTTCTCACCTGACGTACGCCAATTATGAGGCATTAGCAGTACAAGTCAATATGAAGTAAAAAGTAATAAATTTCGCTCCTAGTAACAAATCGCTCCTATAATGGCAAATAAGCTTCCTTCAACCATTTTGGAACGATTTCTATGACGGATTTTATCTGCGCTTACGCGTAAATAGCGCGAAACATATCGAGCGTTAATTGGCCCAAATCGCAATTTTTAAACCCCCATATCTTTACGAAAAAAGATCACAGGCAGAAAATCTTTCAAAATAAAGCTCAGGATAACAATACCTTTTGAATGATATAAAAAATTCCATCAAAAACGGCTAGGTTAAAAGTCGAAATTTGTCTGAAGAAAAAAAGCCACCCTGAGCACAAATATTCCGTTACGAAAGTAGGAACAACAACAATAGTCTTTGTTAAAATCCTTAGCATTGGCTATACTTAGTAGTTGGTTATTGATCAAAATGAACACTTTCAAAATGAACTTATTTTATCGCAACAATATAGGCGTCTCAAAAATATTTCCGACTTAGGTCGGAAAAAAAGATAGTTCATACAATAACACAAGCATTGCTTGTGTAAAACATGAATGCAAAAATTACGAACAATTGCCACAAAAAAACTTGCCGAAAATCAGAAAAAAACTCCGAAAACGTATGAAAATGACCCAATTTCATCAAAAAATATCAATTAGAAAATTTATTTGCAACGGTAAGAGAGATTTATCACAAAACAAAAAACGCACACAAAAGAAATAAAAAACGCGAAAAGTTTTTTTTCCATGAAACTCAGCCAGAAAGAACCACACTCCATGATCTCGTGCAGAACCTTCCGCCACATTCCTTTGTAGACAAAACAAAGGGAAAAAAACAGGTAAATTACAATTTTTTTAAACATATTGAAGCAATACGTTAAACCGTTAATTCAATCAATTTCAAATAAAATTGCTCAAACTTACAAAACACCTAACTAATTATAACTTAAACTAGTTTCACGCACAAAAAAAAATATAAGAAATCATGCATCCGTAAAAAACCTGATAATTTATTGCAAAAAAGAAAACTCCAGCATTAAAATTCAAAATAGTTTTAAAAATCAAGGTCACAAGCATAAAAAATTAGTACCTCTTCATCTTATTCGTGTTTGTTTTTCTATGAATTTTGTGATCCAAACCTCTGTGTTGCATTCTGTGCTGTGAGCATTAGGCTATTTTTCTTATCAAGGGTATTTAGATATGAGTATGTGAAAATGAGCCCACATCACGAGGCAAGGCATCATGATGAGTTCAATCATCAGAAATCAATGGACCTTCACGATAAAATTGCATCTCACCTTGGGGTTGAGAGTACGCATACTTTGTAACGGCTTCAGTGTCAACTTGGACACTCATGGTATCGGCGACTGAAAACTGACCAGGCATATACAAGTTCTCAACTCCAGTTGAACTCGAACTGCCTTGTCCTCCAGAGCCCACTGTATCTGCAGTTCCTGAAACTACCACTCCGGTTGATGAGGTCGCCGGACTCTCAGGATTCCTGTTCTTCAAGACACTCTTCACCATTTTTGGACTCTGTTCATGTTTATCCGTTACACTATCCAGTTTCAGCTGCATAACACGATCTGACAGATAGTCTTCGAATACAACTGATAGCTTAATTACTTCGCCTATTTGCTTCAGCTCTTCCATAGTTAAGGTTGGTACGTGGGCAGTCTGCAACTGATCTTCATTCAATGGCGAAGTATCCATGAAGCTAGTGAACTCACTAAATGCACTCTGAGTTTGCGTTTGCTGAGATCTGAAATGGGACACAGTCAACAAAACAAACGTCCAAAAAGTAACTTACATTTGATCTAACAGAAAAAACTTTCTATTTCTAATCCTGTGAGCAGAAACAAAAACAGAAAAGACAAGTCGTTTTACATACGCATTCCAAGAAACTTTAGGCCTGGCATCCATTTTTTTGATAACTTCTTTTGATTACCCTTCCAGTTTTTTATATTTTTCTAATTTTCACGCAGGTCGGCATGTTCCTAATGAATAACGCTGCATGTTCACTAGTTCACAAAACCTGTTTGACGCAGACTGATCTTCGTCCTTTCTTTTGGCACCCACGATTGCAGTTCCGCTTTTTCGCTGCTTGGATGAAGACCTCTTCTTTTCATCCAAACTCGCAATATTTTCCACATTCACCTGTTTCTGGTACTGCTGCTGGAGCAAATTGGATTGGACTCGCTCTGAGATTTTGCTGAGAAGAGTTTCGATGAAGGGCAGATATATCTGTGCATACACCTCGCTGACAGACACTTTGGATCCGAAGATATCACTCAGAACAACAAACTCGTCTTCCTCCACCATCAGCTAAAAACAGCTTTGCTGAGAACACTTGAATTTCAAAACTAATTGTCAGTAGTTTCATCTCCATTAACGGACATCTTCGTGTTTAATGAGGTTTTAGTGTTTACTTTCCGAATGATTCCACTTACTTTAACTTTGTTGTAAAACGTAGGCAGTAGTTTGACAAACTGGTTGAAATTGGTCATCTGCATTTCATGACCTGCAGTTCCGACACTTCCCTGCAGCCCAGCAGCAAAACGTGGACTGCCTATTTGATCTTCGTCATTCAAGTTGGTGAAGTTCACTTTACTTCGTGGACCAAGTTGAAAATGCAAAACCTGTGACGTCAGCTTATGTAGGTCTTGCATTCGGATTGCGCAATATTTTGACCAAACATGATTCACAGGAAGAAGGGTACAAAGCGCTTCTAGTAGAAAGTGTCGTTTCTGAAGCTGGTTTTTGATAGGTGAGCTGTTCGCAACTGGCAACGTTTGTAAGAAACTGATGAAGGAAGATTCAAACTTTTTGCAGATTTGCTGCCACAAAACAGCATTGTATTTCTCTTCCGTGTCCATAAGTGATGACACTGTAGGGTCTAAATACATGAATGAAATTATTATGTTAAACAGCCTCTAACATCAACACTTAACCTTGTTACCATGGCTTGAAATAAAATATCTCGCATCTTTTTGATTTGATAAAGAACCAGTGGAGTCCTCCACGAAAAACAGGACATGGATACTGGCCGAACTTGAACTTCTTGTGTTTATCGACCCTGACATTATCGTTACAGATCGTTAAACATTTATGTTGCACATCATCGTCATCATCTCTTCAACATCTGATCGAAAGACATGAACAGTATAGTATAACTAACCCTGGGCTGACACAGACGATGAATTCTGAGGTTTGAACGGCAAGCAAAACCCTTCATGCGTTGACAACTTAATTAAACTGAGAAACATTTGCTGTTCGCATTCCGCAACTACGGCAGACGATGCGCTTCCGGATTGTCCAGGTGTCAAGTTATGTCTATTAATTGCATCCAAGATGTGCTGCAACACCCGAGTCACGTCTTCTTGGCTTGGCACAAAACAAGCGTTCTTCTCGAGTACATCGGCAGAAACTTAAAACAAGGAAAGAACTTCTGACATCTTATAAAGAAGCGTAATTTATTAAAATATGCATATACCCACCCATTATCGAGAAATTTACCTTTCACCGCCCTTGAGTGTGAAGATAAAAACAGGTCAGAAATTATCACGGTAACCGAAATTACTACACTAACTTTCGTCATTTCAACCAGACAAAAACTCTTGGAATTTCATAAATTAGGGGGAAAGGAGGAAAGTAAAACGCGAAGGAAAATAAATTAAGTCGAGATGGTTGAGAATTAAGTCAATCAGGTTGAGAAATTGAACACAAAATTAACACATGCAAAGAAAAAACAGGAGTTGAAAGAAACTCAAAAAGATTGAACTGATAATCAGATACTTGAATAAGGCTGCGCTTAGGTTTCATTGGCTCTACAAATTGAGAATTTATTCGAAAAAAGTTCTATTATTATTAGAAGAAGATATTCCTCTAAATTTGCAAACAAATATTATGCTTGTATTACTCAAAAATAAAACTTAAAAAAATAATGGATTTAATAACAAAGTATTTAAACGAAGTTTACAATTCTGAACCATGAAAGCTGCGTGCCAACGAAAGTTCTTCATTTTGATAGAATCTCTGTACCCTCGTGAGAATAAGGACAAGAAAAAACACAAAAAATGCATTTTTGCAGTTTTTTCCATTTCATTTCTTTTCAGCTACAAGCTTCTAGAGCGCATCCTCTCATTGCTTACTTCGAGCAAACTTTCCGACAATTAGCATGCATTTCAGAAAAAAAGTGATGAACAAGACAAAAGAATTAATTTCAACAAATTTAAAGATTTTGAAATATATATTTTTTTAATAATCAAAACAAACTATTTTTTCAGCAGGGTAGCATTAAAACATACGTTCAAACTTTCAAAATCATTAAAACAATACTTAATTTACTTGTCAAGGCATACAACACGCATACAAAACACTTACAAAAACTCATTTTATTCATTATTGAAATGGAAGTATTGGCCACCTCAAGAAGAAAAATAGTACGCACTAACAAGACTTTCAAGACTAATGTGTATCTTATTACCAAATAAAAAAAAATTATTTCAAATAGCAAAACAACAATTGAAGCATGAAACCAAGATAGCACCGGGAGTGAAAGAGAGCACCACATGGGAAATCTATCTGATAAAAAGGCTGTAAGTTGGCAATGGCAAGATAAGAAAATCGCAGAAAGTGAGATACATGGTGACATAGAATTAGAGGATCATAAAAACTTCATCGAGAGAAGCTTGAGGGCGTAGAGTTCCGATGACACATGCTGCGTTAGACATCTGTATGAAAACTGATATTCTTTGTCTAAGGAAGGCAGATGCACGGGCTTCGTTGGTGGAATCTTGAATCAGCTTGCCGAGCTTAGAAAGAAAACCTTTGGTGTCTGGTCCTGCGCCTCCTTGTACTTCGAATGCGACAGGCTGAAACAAGTAGCCTCTGTTGATGATTTCAGTGTATTTCATTCTTTTCGTCTCTTCTGCTGTAGTCGCTGCTTTCAGGGGCTCGAATGAGTCAATTCTACTGCTGCACAATGCGTCCACGACCGTGGCATCCCATGCCATTGGTTGGCCTCTGGACCAAGGTGTAGACGTGAGCCCATCTGGCCTTTTCCGATCTGCGCGGCAAAGTCCATGGGGTTCTAATACCGAGTGTATGTTGGCACTGGCAAGATCCCTCTTCACTATGTCATTCAACAACGGGTGGCGAGTATGACGGCCGGCGCTCATTTTGCACGCCAAACCATGGTGGCCGTCTTCAGAGACTTCTTTACCGCATCGGCATTGGTGGGGTTCGCACACTTTGCCGCCCAACTGCAGTGCCACACTGATGCGGAGTTGGATATCTGTGAGTTTCAAGCCCAAGTTGGATGATGGCAGAGCCTGCAGCCAGCTTCCCGCCATCTTTCCAGATTAAGCTTCTATTCTATTGTGGTCTGTCTTTGAGCAGTTCACAAGCATCGAGGTTTTTAGGTTCTCGAATACTGGCCAAGTCCAATTCTTTTGAGTGCTTCTATTAGTTGGTGGAAGTGCTTGTGCTGTATCACCCCAGAGTTCCAGAGCAGTTTTTTCGTCGCCTGTTGGTCCAGTACAAGTGGAGATTTGGTCTGACAAAGCAGCGCAAGAGCTCGCGGAGGATAGAAAACAGGAAGTCGGAAGCAATGACGCAGATGGCAGACCCAGGCCACCCATTTTAACAGGCAGGCAGGCTTGGATGCGAGAGGAATCTGTAAGTTGAACATTGGTGATTTTTTCTAGTGTTGAGGTCAGAATGGAATCATAGTTGGAGAGTATGTCGGGGTGCATGAAGCACGGTGACGTGCGGAGCAGAAATGTCAGTTTCGGTATACTGAACGAGTTTTTCAAAAGAAAAAGCGCCGAGTGTGCCTCGATTCTTATTTGATTCGCTAAGCAACTAATCGCATCCTATTTCAATCTCAACAAAACTTTAGGAAAATTACGATTTTCGCTAAATAGATTATCAACTTGTATACTCTACTTGTAATTGAATTTCCCTTTAACTTACCTTTACTGAAAGTGGCCTATGCTGAACCTCTTGTTCAATTGCTCTTGGCTTATTTACGAAAAAAACTCTTAGCAAAGATCTTAACAATAATTTCAAAAGGATAAGCAAATAGCTCAAGCACTGTCAATATTTGGTTAGTATATATAAAATTCCTAGTGTTTCCGCTTTTGTTTGTATTAAACCACTCAGACTTATTTCTTCTGCTTCATAAAAAATGGAACCAAATTTGTGTAGCAAGTCCAACCAAACACAAACAGATCAAATTTTTACAGACGCAAGGCGCAGTTTCAAACCATCTGCGATACAACACAGGATACGAAATTATTTGGAAGAGTAGTCTTCAAGAAAAGTCAAAGTTTCACCGAAAATAAAACCAAAGATTAAGTTTTCCCAGGTCCATCAACTTTTGAGTAAAAAAAATGGGTTTGTCATCTATGCCAGGAAAATTCCTACATTTGAACCAGAAATCTCAGATTTCGGAGATAAGTTTAGTTCGAGAAAAGTCAATAAGTTGAAACGGTCAAAAAATCAAAATTTGACTTTTTCGACGACCACTACTCTTGTGTAAAAATCTTTGGGCGGAGCCGGTCACGCAGAGGGGAGCTTCCCACAAAACCGTTGATTGGAAAACAAAATCTTAGATTTGGGAGGGTGATTTCGGAGAAAACTAAAATAAGGGTCAAACATTCCGCCAAAGGAATTTTCCCCAAAAAAGTTCATGTAAAAAAATGACCAGAGAATTATGCAGACACACTTTTACAAGCTGCAGACATGCTTTCAAAGGCGGCAAATGCAATGGGTGGTCTTTTCATTAATACCGTTGTTTGAAAACCGAAAAAGTAGTTTTGAGAAAAACTAAAAATTTTTGCAAAAACTAAAAATCCAAGTCTTCAAATCGTCTCAAAGCTCAAAGCGTCTCAAAAAAACAAAATTCAATAAGAACCCCCAACTCCATACAGTTTCATAAAAACTGTTTTTTTTTCAAAAAAAATCTATTATAAAAAACCAACAACCTTTCATTTTTTGTTAAACTTTTTAAAAATTTAAAGTCCAACTGAAATTGCCAAGAAAAAAAATGCCATTACAATGATTTTTGCTAACACCACAAGAAAAATCCGTGATGTAGCACCTAAGTCAACAAAAATTGCGCAGACAAACGAAACTCTTACAATTCAATTTTAAATAGAAAAATTTTCAATTTCCTACATAAGGAAAAAAACAAGGTTCTGCGGGGACTCGAGCCTCAAAACTTCGTTACCTCCAGGCCAAGTGGAAACGAACCTGGAAATTATTAAGATTTAATATTGAAGCAAGTGCAAGTTCTCATAAAAATTGTTTACGGGAAAGAAGTCTAATTGTCGCAAGTGTAATAATAGATTGAATGATACTGAAAGAAAATTTGATAAGGATTCCATTGGGATTAAAACTTCTTATTTTAGGAATAATCGACTTATCTACCCAATTTTGACTTGTTCTTTAACAGATGAATCATGAATAACAGCTTGGAATCAACATACACACCCCTGTGCAAAAACAAGGTTCTGCGGGGACTCGAGCCTGGTTGAGGGACCAATATCATTTTCATTAGGAAAAGACTGATACTAGAAGCACCGGGCTTACTTTTAAAACTTATTAAGATCGACTTATCTTTATTTACAGCGCGCTTATTTGCAGTCAATTATTGACAAATTCTGCTAATAACTTTTATGAATATATTTAACTCTTGGCTTTTACAAGCTACATTGTATAATGAACATAAAGTAAACTTCAGGTGATTGACGGTATCTTACATATCTTTCACATACACAAGAACAAATAGGGGTCATGGCAGATCCTTGAGGCACGCCACAAGATACGGCCAGCCAATTCGAATTACTAACATGTATATTAACAATTTAATATCTGCTAGTCAAAAAACTTTCAAACCATTCTTGTACAAATCCTCTTATTCCATAAAGCTCAAATAAATTATTGTTCAGAAGAATGTCACAATTTAAAGTATCAAAAGTTTTCTTCAAGTTGAGAAATATGCTTCATTCCAAATTATTTTTTTCGAGGATTGAGTTTTCACTTAGCTGTACTAGAGCTTCGACAGTATTGTTTTTTCCGAATAGCGAATTGCATTGATTAAAAAATTAACAGATGTCAAGAAACATGTACAGAGAATCGAACCTAAGCTTCGCACGAATTGCGATACAAAAATCAATAACAGCAAATAAAATCAAAAACTTGAAAAAAATCGTTCTGGTCAAAAAAGACCCAAAAGGTCCAGAAAAAACCTTTGCCAAAAACACTTTTCATGGAGCTTTGTAAAAGCTATGAAGAAATCGAACTTTTAAAAAATCCTTTCTGCGTGAACTAAGACGCAAAAATGGGCAGTTAACTGAAAATTTCCAGTTTGCTTTATAAACAAGCCCCGACTGACATCGAACAGCCGGGCTCTGTCGTCAAGCATGGGCTTAACAGCAACTTAGAAGAAGGCTGAACCTTCGAAAAAATCAGCCAGGTGAAACTGAGCCGACAAAAATAAAAAGACGGACGATAGTCCAAAAAAGCACGAAAACTCAAGTTTGCAAAAACAGGTCCCAACGGATTCGAACCACAGGACACGGCAGTCTTAAGCGGATGTGTTATCTTTATGCCAGATAGGCAGGAGGTTGAGGTCAACTACTCCGCTACCCCCTCTATGCTTGTGTGCAAGGCAATAGTGTTTGAAGCTGTAGAAGTTAATGAATTGCTATCTCAGAAGCAGTCATCAGGATGATTATTGCCCTTGCACGAACCTTTTTACACGAACGTTCAGGTAGGTGAAGCTATCGGAATGGCTTGTGACATACTTTACAACTCTGGCTGTCCTCCAGACGAGTACTTAATCTGTGGTGACAAGTGGTATATCCAAGAGATGGTGTGGCGATGGGCGCCGCCATGGCGGTCATTCTGGCGCATGCCTGGTGAAGCAGTTTGAAGGCGACATTGCCTCGCATGGTCAGCAGGCGGTCACCACAGAGCAGCAGCCCGTAGCGACGACAGCCAAGACCATCCGTCCGACGTGTACGAAGAAGGCGACTTGGAGGGGTTATTCTATACAGTGTGGTTAGTGTCAATTCTGATTCCACCGTAAATGCAGTGAGATTCCTCTCAAGGTCATTAAGAACAAGACTGGCAAGGAGTAGGTTTGCACCGACTGTCAGAGACGGGTGGGTGTTGCTTCTACTGTCCCTGTCAAGGCGAAAACTTTTTGCCGCTGTGTGGACAACATCATGAGATGAGCACGGCAGGACTTCAATGACAACATCCTGTTACAACTCAACACACTACACCCGAATCTGGAGTCCACCAATGAGAGATTGAGACAATGGCATCCCGTTTCTGGATATGTTCGTCAGTTGGCTAGCACAGATGCCAGCACCCATTGGTACCAAAAACCATTTGACACTGATTTGATTCTTTCCTTTAGGGCGGTGGCACCCACTGGATACATACGCAACCTCAATCAAGGGTGTGTTCACCGGATTTCCAATGCCACTCCTACTTGGGAGAACTTTGGTGAAGTTAGTCGGACTGCAAGACGACTTGGGAGGCGAACCAATACCCGCCAGAGTTCTAAGACCCCATGTCTATGACACTATCGTGAAACTGCTAGGACAAACAGAGAACCGAGCTGACGAACGCGAGAATGAAAAGGGTCCGTCAACACTGTTCACCCCTCAGTATAGAGGTAAGAATAACGACAGCTCAAGAAACGGTTGAACAACATCACGCGGGTCCCTATTATCTTTACTACTTGGAAACTCAAGACCGCCGTCCCCCCACTAAAATCCAAGATTGCATCCCAATCCTAAAATCCATCACAATCGAGCACTGTTTCATTGTCCCATCGCTGTATGGCATGCAATCCTTGTTTCTTCTACATGTTTACGGTGATTTATTTATTAATTTATGATGGTTTGAGTACATTATTAGGATTGTACGTGTTTAACGTTGGAAATGTTTTTAGAAACTGATGATGAATTTGTTAATTCGAAAATGTTTTGACCATTCTCTGTTTTTCTCTTGGCGTATTACCCTTGCGATAAGCAAGGGCATTGCAATCAGGTACTAGAAATTTTTCCCGTGAATAACTTGGTTCACAGGAATCATCAACTGGAGCCTGGACTCCCTCATATGCTTCCTTTGGGGCCCGACCTTTCACCAGAACGACATTTTACCCGAAAAGTTATAATATGGACCTTTCACCAGACTCAATAAACAAACTTGATTGACAGATGTAATGACGACTATTAGTCTGGCTAAAGACAATGATTTCACGGTTTCTCAGCCAAGTTTTGTTTGTTCTAACCGCTTCCTTTTCAAATCATCCTAATGCATTGTGGTTTATTGCATTGTGGTCTGCTAAAAGGTCGGTCTGCTAAAAATCCGGTCTGGTAAAAGACGTAGCCCCGCTTCCTTTATTATAAATTCAAACTCAATCAACCATCCGGAAGCCGGATGGTTGATTGAATAAAAGAGCGAAGTGCAAGTACTCCAGTTATTACATTTACTGAGGAAAAACTCAGTGGTAGGGACAGTAGCCATCATTAACAAAACCTCTAAATTGTCAGTTTTACAAACTTCCGCTGCCGTTTCGGGGTTACAAATCAAGCCTGTGATTATTCTACGTGAAGCTAGGAGGTCAAATACCGTTTATTTCCGGTTCCCATCAAACCAAAAATTTTGCTGTATATTTAATTTAAAGGGAGCAGCACACACACACACTTATACAAAATAAGGATAATTGGAATAATGCTTAAAAATAACAAAATGGTTTTTTGTTATGATTGCGAACCCTAACCTGACAAAATAGGGAACCCTAACCTCAGACTAACCAAGCATTTGAATTGCGGCTTCATACGAATCATATTGAGAAGCTGATGATTTAGCAGAGCAGCCAGCATTCCGACTTCCTCCTCCGCTTTCGGCAGAATTCGCAGAGAGGTTGTTCATTGGCTTTCCTATTGGTGGAATATCATTGATGCATTCCATGATATTGCTCATGCAATGATCAATTTCAGTATTATTTTCCAGTAACATGTCATCTAGTTCTTTCACAATTGTGTATAGATTTCCCATTGTTGGAATCTGATCCCACGACAAATGCAGCATGCTGGGATCTAATTCCATTTCAGCTGAAAAAGTTCAATCCGTTTTTAGCAGCATCAAAATTGCTTGATTGAATTGACAATCATCGAGTTGAGTTCATTTAGCTGGTATCTAAATGATACGGATTCAAAGGTGGGTACTCACAGAGCCGCATTTTCGAATAGCCAAAAAAACTATTGTTAGTAATATTAACACTTAACCAAAATCCGAGTACACAGGCAATTTCATCACGAAACTGGAAGTTTTTTATTAGGAAAATTAAGTTTTTTTCTTCATTAAAGCAGAACACATGAAATTCAAGGAAATTATAAAAAAAAATGTTGTCCAAACGTTTGCTTTACTTCATTGTTCAGTTTTAAATCATTTATATTATGCAGCAATATTTTTAGAGCAAATTGATGCAACTTCAATGATGTACTTAGACAAACAGTTGAGATGAGCTTTGAAACGCACATTTTTCAGATCAAAAAATCAATCTTCTGCGGCACTACGTAAAAATAAATCATTTATCGGAATTGAGAAAACAATTGAGTTGAAATGTGTTATATCTATATCAGTTTCTTACTAACATATAAACAAAGATTAACTGAACTGAGACTGCTTCCACTATCGTATTACTTTGAACTACATGATCTGTTAATGCTAATATCAATGTTGAGAGGCAGTTACAACATCAAACTGCCTATTATAAAGTCGAATACGAAATCCAATGACGATCATTCATTAAAAAAACAAAAAGATCTATATCAATAACAAAAACTCGAACAAGAAAGGCTGACGAAAACTTTTGGAAAAGAATCAGTCAAATATTGAATATAATACGAAAAATGGGAAATATCGACCTCGAACAAATTGACAAACCATACCTAACAAAATTATACTGGAATTACTTCTACAAAGAATACTCTAAAGTCAACTTATTTTCCTGGGCTTTTATATGCAATTGAGGACATTGCAACCCGGCGCAGAAAGTCAGCTCAGCCGTCAACTGATGGGTGCAAAAAAAATGAACATTTTAATTGCAAAATGATAATTAATATTATTAAGCAAGTGTAAGTCACACAAGTTTTCTTGGATATATACTTATTTACAATATAATAAAATAATACTTAGAATATCTATATTGTAAAGCAACTCTAGAGCTAATTTAGGGTAATTAAATCAAACTCAAGTAGTTTTGAATAAATAAGTTTGAACTCGTGAATAGGTTTTTCTTCCTGGACCATTGGGCAGCTTTAGGAGCCAATTCGGTTCGCTTGCGACATGAGACTACAATCCGTGTTACAGCTTAAAGACTACTATCGAAATACCCTCAACTCTAGAAATAAGAACGCCCTCATGGTCAGGTCTCGAAATGCCTAAAACACGCGAATGCCGTTAAAAACAGGGTCGGAACCTAAGTATACCGTTAGTTTTTATTGTACAGTGAACCTTTAATCCGCTTCAGATGGATCAACCTAAGAAGTCAACCCCTACTCAAGTATCATTCTGGTCCAATTGATCGTATTCTCTATCCGTCGTCCAAGACTCTTGATTTTCTATCGGGAACAAGATATCTCTACACGTGCTGGAAAATTATATTAAAATTGCGAACAGCATTATTACTCTCTAGCAATTTTTTACTCGAATTTCCTGATTGCTTTTTCTCGTATTTTCAATTGTCGCGAGAAATTTGAGCATGATATGCTCAATTAGAAATTTCGAAACTTTACTTTTGTCCCAAAAATCATGATTAAACGCTCAGCTCAAGGTCAATCTTCCAAATATGACCGACTGGCACTTACTCCGCGGACTTAAGATCGATGTCCTCATCGCGTGTATTCGTCTGTCAGTGAGCCCCCAGAATGTAGAGTGCGTGTCAAGATACAGTGCCAGTGGTATTTACAGAAGTTTGCAGCAGATTTAACGTTATCTAAACCCAAAATTCACAGCCAGGCAAAATTGTAGCATTATTGCCAAACAGCAATCAAAATCTGCATCCACCTTCAACCTGATTTCCAGCTTTACAAACTATTCATTAAAATTTCTTTTTTCCTATCCAATCAGAAAACTGTCATGCATCATTTTGATTTATATAGTAATTATAGTATATTAGTATCGTTACTTTGTTTGTTAAAATTTCTTTTCCGTGCCCTCAGATTTCATGTTAGTTCACACTTAAGCATCTTTTGCCTTCCACGCTCAAGACTCAAGAACGAACCCCTGAGCAGCCTACTCAATGGGCGCCCCGTCTTCAAGCTACTGAGTCCGCATGCACTCGACACAGTATTTTGCCTCGATAATTCTTCTTCATCGTCGGAACTGATCACGATCTCTTCCCATGTCTTTAGTTGTTTGTAGGCTCGCATCCACTCCTCTTCTTCTTCTTCTAGGCGTTCGGCTCGTTCGAGCCATGCCCTCTCCCCCTGCATATGTCTGTGTGTTTGGCCATGATTGTCGCCGACAGTGTCCTGTTGCATTTGCTACATTCCTTCTTCTTTGCTATGTATTTTCTGGGTTTTTCAGCTTCTTGAGGGTTACAGAATTTGACGTGATTTTTGTATGGACCTTCTGTCTTCCATGTTTTCTGGCAACGACTGCACGTGAAAGAGTGCGAGGCTTCGGTGTGCATTCTCTTTATGTGAATCTTTAGTCCCCCTACCGATTTGCAAACCTTTTCACATATGTCACACTGTAAGTTCGTCGGGGGGAGATCGAAATTCCTCTTCTCTAACTTTTCTTCCCCATCATGGCGATTCCCTTGTTGGTACTCCCATTTCTCCAAGTGGTCCATGCGTATCTTGATTCTTCTTTTCCATTCTTTTTGGTCTAAGGCAAATTTAGGGGCTTCGGTCCAGTTGATTCCGGCCTCCTTGAGCAACTTCCTCCAGTAGAAAATGGTTTTCTGTTTGTAACCTGGTCGCTTCTGGATTTCCTCGAGGCTTCCCAGCCACCCTAACACCGCCATTTTAACCGTCCTTGCGTTGCTCATTCTTAATATGTGGCCTATCCGCTCTAATGTACGTTTCTCGATCTTCCATCTCAATGATCTTATGTCGTACATGTTCCGGATGTCCTGCATATTAACCCCCTCATAATGCATTTGTTTCAGCGGTGGACCCTTTTTATTACTCCAGAGATATCTATACCTTTTATCTAACCACGACTGAATATTATTGATCTCTTGGTTATACCACGGCCGAGTAGCGCAATCGAATAGGAGCCCACTTTCGACACATGCTTGCACCACTTGTGCTTGTTTCTTTCTGGGAAGTTTACTTTTCAGAAGTTGCGAGCGGCATTTTGCCCATAGGTATCCAGCTCGCTTTTTTCTATTCATTAGGTCTTTTTTTGGACCTAGCCAACAACCCAACATGCATATTTCTTCTGCTTCTTCTGATCCAAATAAAGCCTTTTCTTCTTTGTCTGTGTTGTTCTTTTCCTCAAGTTTCTCCATGACTCCTTTGATAATGTTAACGCCCTCTTCCAGCTCTCTTTGCTCGCCGATGATAGTGGTATCATCTGCGAACAAGGATATGGTTATGTTAACAGTTTGCGTCTCGCTGTTTGACTTTTCGATCTTGTTTATATCCGGTATATTGCTGCCTGGTATCCATCGCCATTTTATGCCCGTCTGTCCATGTTTCGCGTCTGATATCTTTTTCCGTTCATTCTCCGCTATGCGCATTACCACTTGGTGATAGATATTGAATAGACATGGCGATGTCGAGCAACCCTCCCTGAGACCCGTTCTGGGATCCATTCCTCGCTATCTCCTTCCTTCCCTTTCACTTGGTAACTGGTTGCCTCGTGTAAATCTGCTAGGGATTCTAGGAAGGGTCCTTTCATCCCGTAGTTTCGCAGGATTTCCCAAAGAGCTGGTTTGTTCACTCTGGGATACGCTTTACGTAGGTCCAAAAGCCTTGCTTCGGGGTCAGTATGTTCAATTTGAGGCAGGTTCCAGATTGCTCGCCTCTTCTTTAGATCGTCTGCGTCTTCTGTTATTCTGACCAGGATTTGTGTTGCATCCGCAGTCGACCTTCCGGTCCTGAAGCCGCTTTGATTGTCATCTAGAAGATTTAGGCGTTCTGTCCACTTTCTTAGTCTTTTGGACAGAATTCTTGCTAGGATCCTGCTGCCCATGGCCAATGGGCAGACTCCTCTATAGTTGTTTACATCATTTTTTCCGCAATTCTTATGTAGGGGTACTATTTGTCCGTTCTTTAGGATTTCGTCCCATGTCGGGGCGCGGAATAAGAACATATTTTTAACCATGGCCACTATTGCTGATTTAACATGTGGGCTGGCCAATTTGATGTACTTTATGCGGACATTGTCTTTTCCGGGCGCGGACTCCCTTATTTCACTGATGCAGTCCTGTATTTCCTTATCCGATGGGGTCTCATTTAGCAGTTTATTTTCTTCGATATACTTCTTTTCCGCTCTGTGATCCCCCATACGTGCAACAGTATCCATTAGAAGCTGAGGGCTGATTTCATATCGGTTTTTCAATACTCCTTCGAACTGGGCTTTGAATTCATCAGTTGTGAGTGTTGTGCCAGTATCCGGTTTCCTATCTCTGCCGCCTAATTGGCGTAGTGTTCGGTACATGGTGCCCATATCTCCTTTGATGTTGGCCTGTTGGCATTCGTCTAGGATTTTATCCCACCATTCACGTTCTAATTCTTTCAGCTTCCCCTTCATTTTAGCCCTTGCTTTCCTAAGGTTGTCCCTATTACGCAGTATATCTTGGAGTGGACGGTCCTGCTCTAAGGATTCGTTTCTATCCCTCACGGCCGAAGCTATGGAATTATGGAGCTGTGACAGCTCATCTTCGTGGCCGATCGGCCACGGATTCGCTATCTGCCTGGTTCTTTTTCCACATACCTTTAATGCAGCTTGCGTTAGCGCTGTCGCTATTTCGCTCCATGAGCTATACTCGTCCACCTCCTTTGTCTCGGTCTCCTTTTGGAATTTTAGAGCTGTCTGCTCAGTACTCAATTTCTCCCAGTTTATTGCTGGTTTCCGTGCTACTCTTGTTGGTCTGGACCTCTTAGGGATTTTTAGGTGGAGGGATACCAGCTTGTGGTCCGATAGCGTTAGCTCCTCGGTAATTTGTATCCTTTTTGCATGCCTGTGCCTTTCTCCTCGCCTCATTATAAATCCGTCCAGCTCATACCATCTGCGGTGGCTGTGGTTAAACCAAGTTCCCCTTTTCCTAAGGTTAGAGAAAGAGTTTATCCACTGGAGATTGTGCGCTACACACCAATCGAGGAGGTCTCCTCCTGCTTCGGTTGTTGGCGTGGTTAGACCATACCTTCCATTTGTTTCACAGGCTCTCTCCCTTCCAATGTGAGCATTATGGTCCCCTCCAATTATTAATACCTTGGTCTTGGGGGTTCGGGCTACTTCATTTTCTAGGCAGTGTCCATATTCTTCTATCCCTTCGACCCCGTTACTCCAAAGTGGTTGGTAAACTGATATAATTTTCATACCATTTACCTCTATGGCGGTAGTGCGCTCCGAGAAACTTTTCTTTTGGCCTTCGCTGATCCAGGACTTGAGGGCCTCGCCACTGAGAACTATACCGCTACGTTAGGAGTGTATAACAACTGTTTGTTCACTATCTTCACCTAGCCATATCACTCCTTTCGATTTTGATCGAAGCTCTGATATTAAGATTATTTCCCATCTTTTGCCTTGTGCATACGTAATTACTCTCTTCAGTCGGTTTCTGTTTCTTTCGTGGACTGATAACCCTTGTAGATTCCATGCTGTTACCGTAATACTCGGCTGTCCCTCGGGGGGAGTGGGTAATCTTCTTTGTCTTCTCTTCTGTCTGCGAGCTTCCCGGTGTTCTTCAGTGGGGCGTCTCATTTTTCCTCTCCTTATTTTCTCCCCTTTGTCCGAGTCTTTTTGCCGCAGAAGATGTTGCGCGGGGTTTTCGCAACTGTCTATGCCCCTGGTTTCTTCTTCTTCAGGCTCCTGTCCGGGATGGAGGCAGGGACTCTTCGGTTCCTCTCTTTGCGGGAGCTCGTTTGTCAGTGTTGGGCCCTGCGCGGGGTTGTCGCAGGTATTTGTTCCCCTCGGTTCACCCTCTGCTGACTCCTGGTCGAGGTGGGGCCAGGGAGCTTGTTCCCTTGGTTCCCTTGTGTCTGTTCCGTTTGCTTCCTTTGGCTCCTGCGCGGGGTTTTCGCAGGGTTTTTCTCCCCTCGTTTCAACCTCGGGAAACTCCCTGTTAGGGTTCGACAGAGCGGAACTGCATTTGGTGCACTCAAATGCATATCGGTTGGCTTTAGCTAGCTGTAGGATCTCTTGCCGGGATAGACCGCTACATCCTTGGTGTATCCATTGTTCGCACCATGTGCATTTCACGCTGTTGCTTGTTACTTTCTTCCTGCATTCTCCGCACAGCGTGGGTCCCGGATTCTTCTCAACGTCTCCGGCCCTCGTTATTAGCTGACCCAGATGGGCTAGTCCCGAGTCAGCGACAAAAAACCCGACACACTCGAACCTGGGGGAGGTTCTGGCCACAATGTTGTTGTAAGAGGTGCTCTGACTGGCTGGGTCTTCGCCACTCTGTTGGTATTCCGGGGGGTTTTGGGTCCTCGCCGTTCCCGGTTTGTTCCCTTCCGTTCCGAAAACCCTGTGGGTTCTTTGCCGCACAGATAACTCGTGCGTTTCCCGCTTGTCCCGCTCGGAGGGCACACACGCACAAGCTCGCACCCACTCCCTTTGCTCTTGCAACCTCTTCGTCTGGTTCGGTAGACTCTTCACTTTAGATTCCCTGTTCAAGTAGAAAGAGTTGTATAAGCTTAAGCTCACGTTCTTCGCCAGGTCCTCCTCCAGTATCGAGTCCCTTGCTTTGGTATTATCTCTAGACACCCTACCAACTCTTTTCCAACAAGTGGTTATTGCGTTGCGATGGGTAAGCATAGGTCTCTTGAAGGCTTCCGGCCCAATCTCGGCAAGGAACTGACGATATTCCTTTTGATGCTTCTTCATTTGATTCTTCGTCAACGTAAACACCCAAGACGTCAGTGTCGCTCTAAAGCATGAGAAGAATCGTATGCGACTCCACACGTGTCTCACCTCCATGGGTACAGAGAATACTTTGCACGCAGTCTGAAACAACTCGAGCCTCCGGCTATTGTCAATGGCATGTATCGACTCCATTGTCCATTGTTGGTGTCTTCGACTCCGGATACTTCGTTATGTTCTCCTCAATCCATCGCAGCGCCAGCAACGAGCTCACCACGAAGAGGGTGACTTTTTGTTGATGATCATGTAGCCCTACCGACCGAGTTTTTTCAAGACCCCATATCAAGCAGAGATTTGACTGCTCCCGGTACCACACTGTCTGAGCCAGACAATGACATTGGCAATCTTTATGCGTCAAGTTGATGCTGCGGAGATTGCGTTCTCCTGACGCCTTGAGCAAAGGCTTAAACTCCATCATCTTTGCATGCGTCACGTCATTTTCGTCCACGGCTTGGGCGCTATTCGTCGTCCTCCCGATCGTGTTCTGCCTCTCGAAGGCACTAGTGTTCTCTTTTACCAAACTCAAAAGTTCCTCCCCCCAGATCTCACTCAAGTCCTCCCTTCGATCCCCAGGCACCACTCCCAGCATCGTCCGTAACAACCGATGTGAATGATGTGACATCCGCGCCAAGCGCACGCACTTAGACACGGAGAAATCCTTGTCAATCAGCAACCTCTGACTAGACGCTTCCACGATGGCCATATGTAACGGATAATGACTTCCGCACAAGTTCGTCATGACTGATCCCACCAGAGACTTCGCATGATCCCACCATAGACTGTAGGCCTCGCTCACGGAAAGCCCATCTCTGCCTCAAGACCGATTTTCCATCCCTTGATATGCCTTTGGAACATCTGCAACACTCCAGGCCAAGACTCCACGCTTAATGCCGTCACCAGATGGTTCTCGGTTTCTAGCATCTCCAGTCTGTCTAGACTACACATCCTTGAGAAGAATCCCAATGCTGTCGCTAGGTTCACTGTGGTGCTCGTGTAACACTCAAATACTATTTGCACCTCACTCTTCTCCTTCTCGGTGATGTCGCCAAACCAAGTGGCCAGATCTTTGCTTTGAAAAGACTGTATCCTGACACAAGACCGTCCATGACAAGAACGGTCTCCACCTCCACTCGCTAGATTAAGACAACTGCCTGGCTTCAGCTTCTTAGGCGACTCGTTTGGCTTACTCATCATTTCTTTACACTCTCTTCGATGAGGCAGGATCAATTTGTGTATCACTTTCAGATTCCCCAAATCGTCATCCTTCCCTGGTGACAGTCTCACTCGCTCCGTGATTCTTCGTTCAAACTTGCCTGAGGATGTGGACACCAAGATGGTCTCAGAAACTTCCAAAGAAATCCCAAATTAGTAGACAATATGTCGTCTTTGCCTCCCAGCCTCAGCTGCACCTTCCAGTCAGAACGCGGCACGCTGACGACTTCGAGCACCTTCTCAAGCAGTAGACCTAGGTCGGTATCTCCCTTTCTGTCGGATAAATCTCGACAATCTTCACTGTCCAGAACTTCAGCAGCTCCGTAACTTCAAAATTCATAAGGCAGCTAAAGCCTCCGCATCCAAGAAAGGGTTGTATGATATCCCCATTACACCGTACACACACTGATACTCCCCTCGCTTCGTGGGTCTCGAGTAGTCTTCTGCCAATGATTCACGTCATAACTCTCCGCAATTTTCTCGTTTGAGAAACGTCGAGTCTCGTCCAGTTTTGCATGGTTCTCCAGGGACTGCCTCGAACCGTCCTCTTTCTCAACCCCAATACTCTGATACACGTTCAGGATGACGCTCGAGACCCACTTTTCCAATGCTTTACCTCCCGCCGCACTTTGATAGCATTCCTGGATGGTAGCATCAGGTATCACTGACTTGATCCATCTCAGTAAACAGGTGGCATCTTTCCTCCTCGCCAGACTCAATCCCGAATTGTCTCGAGCAATATGCTGCGTCAGCAATCGATACACGTGCAGAATTTTGTCGCCCAGCTTTAGTTTATCGTACGAAGTCAATGCTTCTAGCGCCACTCCCGCCAAGCTCCACGTAAACATCAATTGCCCCGCAGTCCTGACAAAAAGATTCGCCAGCAAATGTTTTGCCGACGAGGGTGCCCTTATTTCGTCTTCAAAATACTCCAGCAGCAATTTCTCCCAGGTTCGTCCCAACTGGTTCTTCAACTCTAGCTTAATCACTTCCGGCCTCTGTTGGGTAGCCCAACTTCGACGTTTTCTGGGCACCCCGCAATCAAGTTTTTTCAGGCAACTCTCAAGTTCTTTCGCAGTATCCAGGGCTATCTACCAGACTGATGGAGCCTTTATCGCATTCGCCTTCTGGGGTTTGAAATCTTCTTCCGTCCCCGGACTTGTCGCATTTTCCATCTCGGTCAATACTTCAGCCAACTTTCGGGTCACTGAGTTGCCCTTATAAGCTGTTGTCTTTCATCTCTCTAGAATTATTGGAGCCGTCTCCTTCAAATCCTTCCCTGAAACCGCCTCCATCGAGGGACTCGCTTCTTCTACCTCCCGTTTTCTTTACTCGAGGGCGTAGTCATAATCATCACTGAGTCCACTTCTTCATCCAGATCTCCCTCTTCCGACTCTTGCCTCTCCCTTCTCTAGCCTTGTAAAAATTAATATCTTTAATTATAATTTTAGTTTTAATTTTATCATCAATTTCATCGCTAACTTCCCAGATTAATACTCAAGAGATATCTTTCTTTAGTACCAATTGCAAAAGGTTGAACGAGTTCTTTCTTTTCTGCCATTACTCGTGTTATTCCGATCCAGTTATCGTTTTCGTTTTTGTGATTCAAATCAATCTGAAAAAAAATGTATTTTAGACCAAGTTGTTTTGCTCATGACCAGCCTCAACCTCCCCCCTTAGTACCCCTAAGACATTATTCTGATAATTTCTGATAAAATATTTCAATTAGGTATTAAAAACATGCAGATCCATCTTTGCTATACACATCCACTTCGAAATGAAAATTCTGATTCAGTTGTCATGCCAGTCATACTAAAACGTATTTTCCTGACGCGTGCCCCCCTTCTATCTAAAGTCAGGCGATACTCAAGTAGATGTGTAGATGTACCATTATTCCGTTTTTA